AAAAAAATATAAATATAAAAAAGAATACATATTTTATGTATATGATATTGTGATAGATAAAAAAAGAGTAAAACACAAACTTAATATTAAAAATAAATTCTCATAACTTTTTGATTACATGGTGACCAGCAGCTATTAAAGACAGAAAAGATTCAAAATGTGTAAGTGTTATTAGAGTAATGTGAAATGAAAATAAATAAAAAGTTAAATATAAATATTGAACAAACATTAAAAGCTTAAATAAATATAAGGTATAAGAACTTTTTTAAAGACGGTCAAATTATAATAAAAGAAGCCAGAATTTTAAAGGATGAGAGAAACTTTCAAAATAATTTAAGTCAAGATATAAGAGATAATGAAAAATTTCAAAATAAGTTCAATATTCAATGTCATAAATGCAACATGTACAATTATTTTAATTAGAATATAAAACACATATCCAGTGCCAAACTGTAATAAATATGATTATTATAGTTAAGAATGTTATGTTAAACTATTAAATATTAGAAAAAGTCACGCTCAAGTTGTAGAAAATAAAAATAATATAAAGGCAAAGTATAACATGAAGTCAGTGCTCATTACTAGCATGCAATAACTAAAAACAATGATAATAAATGGGTGTTAGACACAAGTTACAGTAATCATGTAAGTGGAGAAAATAATTATTTTTTTTACTTAGATGAAAGCTTCACAACTACAATTAAGCTTTGTAATAATTCAAAATTTTTATGGGAAAAATGAAGGATTCTCATTAGATTGAAGGATGTATCTTTGAACTATATCTATGATGTATTTTATGCACCTATATATGTCAAAACCTCTTGAATGTGGGACAACTAGTGGAGAAAAGTTACGACTTATGATTTATTAAGAAAAGATGAACTATAAATGATATGAATATGGTTTTGATAGCAAAGACAAACATGTCAAGTAATATATTATTCTCAATGAACATCAATTATAATGTTTCCTTGTTTTGCAATTTTATGATTATAGATGATAATTGGCTTTGGCATTTGCAACTTGAGCATTTCATCTTTCAAAGAATCAAACAAAAAAATGCTATTTGGACATTTGCAACTTAGCTAGATGACAAAGCAAAAAAAATGTATTTTTGTTGGTTACAATAATGAAACAAAATGTTATAAGTTGTATAATACAAATATCAAAAAGGTAATCATAAGTTAAGATATCACTTTTAATAAAAATGAAGTGTGGATTGATCAGAAAAAGAACAAGAATTACTACTAGTAATAGTAAATGAGGAAATATAACAAGAAAACAAAGTTGATAAGCCAATAAAATACTAAAGATTAAGAGGAAACAACATTTGAATCACTACCTCATAGATATCCACATCAAGAGCATCGTCCACCTCCCCCTTACAAAATTATGAAGTTGGTAGAGATGATGAACCTGATGATGGAGAGGAAGAAATTACTCATTTTGTTTTATTTGTTGATTGTGATCCTATGACATGTGGAGGAAGCTACTAGTAGCTAACCATTGGATTAAAGCAATTAAAAAGAATAATACATGTGAGTTAGCTAGTCTTCCAAAGGAAAAGAAACCTATTAATGTTAAATGGGTATTCAAGACAAAGTTCAAACCAAATGGAGAGGTAGAATGTTTCAAGGCACAATTATTGGTAGCAAATACAAACAAAATTATGGAATTAACTACTTTGAAGTATTTGCTCTAGTTGCTAGAATAGATACAATACCTATGATTCTTTCTATTGCTGCTCAAAATCTATAAAAAATATTTCAAAAGGATGTGAAGTCTACATCCAACAACTATAAGATTACATAGAATAAGGATATGAAGATAAGGTATACAGGTTGAAGAAAGCATTTGATGAGTTAAGGCAAGTGTTTAGAGCATGGTATACACATATAGATACATGCTTCATTGGCAATAGCTTTCATAGGAGTCCATACAAGCATGCTTTATATATCAAAACTAAATAAGGGTGGAGATATTATTATTGTTTGTTTATATGTAACACCTAAATTTAATTTTTCAAATAAATTAATTTTACAAAATTAGAAATAATAAAATTTTTTTTTATTCAAATGGTTCTCAAATCATGATTCACAAAAACATTTCAAAACAGTGATAGATTATAATTTGTATCAATCCTTGCTACAGGACTTTAACAAATACACCAAATTTTTAAAATAAATTTTCAACATACTGTACGGACTTTTCACAATCATATTCATATATGTCCACATCATTACACATATATACACATCGTCCTCATGTCAATTAACACACCTCATAGGGCAATCCTTATTATTATTATTATTATAATTAAATAATATTACAAAATTTGGAGTGTTACATTATATATAGATAATTTGATCTTCACCAACAACAACTCCAAGTTATTAGAAGAGTTTAGAAAAAAGCATGACTACAATTTGAGATGATAAATATGAAGTTAATATCTTATCTTTTAGTCATAGAAGTCAAGCAAACAAATAAATGAATTTTTATCTCACAAAATATTCATGAATACACTCTGACAATTCCATTGACAAGCTATTAAGCAAATTTTGAAGTGAAGCAAATTTCACAATAGATTTTTGGAATTTAAATTTTGAATATTTGCTTTCATTTTTATTTTTAATTATAAATTTTAAAATTTAGTTTGTTTAAAAGTTTCAGAAGTTAGTTTCTAAAACTGCTATTAACTAGTTATTCTAAACATTAGATGTACAATAGCTATCATATCAATTTAAGTGATAAATATAAATATATTATTATAATATAAATAGGTAGCTTTTCATTATTGTAGTAATAATATTTTTGAAAAATAAAATAAAGAAAAACACCAACGAATCTAATTTAATAACAACATCTTGTTTAAGCAATTCATTATTTATTGCCAACACTGCCATACATATTTTTGGAATTGAATTTTCAAAAAATTTACTTTCAGAATTAATTTTTTGAAAGGCAACAACAGTGACACTTCTATCTATTTAATGTTATCTTTTTTTTTTTTAAAAGGAAATGAAAAATTATATAAATAACTAACTTCGATCGAAGGAGATTGATGAAGCAATGAGAAAAGTTGTTTGCTGGTATAAATGCCGCTGGAGAGGAAGAGAACGATAAAAAGAGGAACGAAGAAGAATAAAGGCAACGAATAAGTGGCAAGAAATACAAAGAAGTGAACCGGAAACTGAAGGGAGAAAAGAAGGGATAATTTTAAATTATAAAAAATATATTTTTGAAAATCAAATTACAAAAATAAAGTATAGAGTGCAAATAAAAGAATATGTTTTTCTGCTTATAGTGCAAGACAACATGCAAACAAAACGGCCCTTATCTATGAGAAGTTTATGAGTCAGTTTGTATAACAATTTATTGTAATTTCTTTTCTTACAATTTCTTTTAATAATTAGGCTCATATTTTCAATATAAATGTTAGAAAAAATTAATATATAATTTAACAAATTTAAAACAAATTAACAGCATCAATCATTCAACGAATTAAAATATTAAAGTATTATCATTCCATCAAATAAATTTAAAATAAACATTTTAATTACTTTTAAAACAAACTCTCTTTGTCATATCAAACCTTTAAATGTAATAAAATAACATTTAAATATAACTATTTTTACACTTAAAGAAGAAGAAAAATAATACTACTTTTAATTTTTTTTATAAGAAACAAAAAACTAAATCTCTAAAATCATAAAAAGCAATTAAGTCACTTATATTTTCTATAAATATAAATTTTATTTTAAAAATACTCATGATATTAAGTTTTGTAGTTAGTAATTTATACAATTAATGATACTAATAAAAGAAGAATATAAAAAAAATTTAACAATTAATAATTCTTGAATCTATCATTTATTTTTTATAATAAAGAAAAAATATTTTATTTTATTTTTTATAAAAAAGACTGAAAGTAATACATAAATAGTCCAAAACTGCGCGGGCCAAACTTCATAAGGGCAAGAGCAAGATAGGAAGTGAGTTTTATTGAGCTAAACCAAAAAAAAGCTTCAGGCCTTTAAATTTAAGCCTAATTATCATTATTTTTTTTATAGTTATACTTGGACTCGCTAAATTGGATCGATGACTTTAATTATTAGATTCAAGTAAGAAATTGTTTCTTGCAAACTGTTGAAATTGAATTGCATGTACATGTGTACATTGTTGTATCAAATAAGTATAAATATAGTATTTTGGGTATAGCAAGTGTTCTCTTAAGCTTAGATAAAACAAAATAAATTAAAATTAAAAAATGTATAATTAATTTAAATGAAACTTACAAAAAATAAAACGATTATTTAAAATTATAAAGAAGATATATATAATGCATATAAAAAAATAAAATTTAAAAGAAAGTAAAAATGATGTGGGTTGTTATCCTTTTAGAAAGCACATACTAAAAGATTGAATCTAAGATGGAGTTGCCAGATTTCTTACAAATTTTGGGGCCTTTCAAGGATAGGTGGGTTTCTTTATGTTGCGTAATAAGTTGTAAAGCTTTGCAGGCTGCTTTCCGAGCAGCACGTCTTGAACATAATAACAGTTAATTATTGTCTGGATGTCCATAATGGTTAAGTAACAAAGAGGTATAAAATTTATATATGGTTATGTTACATTTAAATATTAATATAGTATATAATATTATATAATTATTTTTATTTTTAAATTATAGATATCTTAAATATGTGTGTGTATATATATATCTTAAAAAACTAAAACAGGCATAACAGGTGAAACAGTTCTTTCAGCTTTATATGATAGAAAGTGAAAACATTTTTAATTTCAAAGTGGGTGGGATGTTGAGCAACCAATGACCATAACTTACCTACACAATGGTAAAATTTATAGTAATGATAATATATCAACTAACGTATGCAATGTAAATCTAAAAACGTTCTCGTTTCATGATCAGGAATTCGGGATTAATTACTAGCATGTTGTGCTGCTCCATTTGAATTGGTCGTAGAGTAATGTTCATATTATTAAAACAACTAGGAAATTCAATCATAACAATATGAGTTTGGCAACAGAAAATTAAACAAACAAGGCAAATAAAAGACATATTGATCGGTGTATTATACTGTATATCTCACGCACGCTCACAACTGATCACACGATGTAGGGATAAAAGAAATGGTCTCCTCCTCAAGATCATGGTTCACCAAAATGTTCTGCTGTTGAACATTGCCAAAGATGGACATTCCATTGGAAGCTCCCATGGCTAAGCAAGCCACTCCTAAGTTTGAATCACCAATCATGTAGTTCTCAGCAGGTAACTCCAAATCCCCACCTTTGAAATGGAAAACCAACTTGGGAATTTCCACTTGGGATGACCCAGATGGCAAAGTGAAACAAACATCTAACCCAGTTGAGCCTGATTTGTCCACAGGAAGTTGTGTTTGAGATATGAACTCTTTTTTGAGTGCATCAAAAGCTTTCTGTTCTATGTAGGAAATTGTTGTGCCAGAGTCTATTATCACACCCCCACTACCATCTTCCCCCAGATCAAAGGTGGACTTTTCAATGGACAATCTAGTGTCACCCACTGAGATACCTTCAAGAGAAAGATAATAAAAAGATGGTTGTATAGGATTTTTGAGAAGAGGGGTTGTGACTGCTGCTTGTGTGCCATTCACACTTGCAAGAGACCCCAACAACAAAAGACTGGTTTTTGAGTCATCCATAGAGGTCAAACAGTAAGAGAATTTGGGTTCCTTAAGCTGAGAAACCAAGGACAAAGGACCACGCCCAAGCCCAACCAACCCTGAAGCTTGTTCAAAACCATCTCCTTCATTATCTTCTCCACAACCAAAACCAATGTTGTAAACCGAAACTTGGTTCCCAGAGTCCCCAAAAGTGAAGGTCTCAGTGGCCAAAACACCTTGTGTCACTGAATAGTCACCATATGAATACACATATTGGCACCCATCACTACAAGTTGAGGAAGGTAAGGCACTACACAAGTCACTTCCACACGAGACCTTCGAAAACGAAGAGGACTTTTTGGGGTCAAAAATGGGTGTGGGTTGCTTGTAGCATTGGGTGCATGGCTTGCATTGTGTCCATATAAGGTCACTGCCAGTGTCCAAAACCGCAGGGTAAGCCTCTGGTGGAGTTCCAATGGACAACTCCATCAAGTACTCACCGTTCCCTGCATGTATAGGGGCTTCCAATTGTGAAGAATCTTGTGTTGAAGCTGCCAACACCATTGCATTCAGCTTCTGCAGCCTACTCTTTCCACGCTTCATTCCATGTTGAACACGCTCTAGTTTAGTCAAGTTTTTACCTGAATCAACATGACGAAGTGTGACTCTAAACCCATTTGGGTGAGAGTGTGAAGAAGCTGTGTGATGCTTGAGAGTTTTTCTGGATGTTGAGGATGCTGGGTCAACAAAAAGAATCGCCACTAGGAGTGCCACCAATGTAACAAATGATGAACGATGTTGCATTGTAGCCATGACCGTGAGCTTACACAATAATAAGACTTTGTGAAGGAAATTATATAAAGTAGGTTGAGTGAAGGACAAGCGTGATGAAGAATAGTGGGAATGTATATGAAAGGTTTGTTGCTAGAGAACTGGTCTTATATTAATTAACACACGAAAATTTGATGATCTTGTAACGTTCCCTTCGAATGTGGTGGAGATGATAAAGGGAATTCCCTTTTGAAGAAGACCAAGAGGCTAAGAAGAGGTGAGTTTTGGGTTGTCAAGATTTTATTTTTCTTTTAAAAAATAAAATATTTGTTTCAGTGTAAGAGTTAAAGAGAGACGTTGATGATGAATGGAGGTTGAGATATCAGCGTAGTGTCGCAACAAGTACCGAGTCTTGCGTTACGGTTGGTGAAGATTTTATATCCGAAACGTATCTAAAGCAACATTATTGTGACAAAAGCCAAGAGTCTCTAACACGTACGGTTAAGAGTTTTTGGGTTAGAGGAACGCCAAGTTTTGTTTTGTTTGGGAGTGAGAGGGTGGCTTAGCTTAGGCAATGATCTATTTGTATACTTGTTGAGCGAATATTACGTTTACATGAATCAATACATGGCTGACTAATTTATGAGCAATCATGAACAGTGATTACTATCTATGTTGATCATGAATTGGGTGTACCACAATTTATATAAGTCATTAAACCCGAGGAAAAGTTGTGTAGTTTATAAAATAAGCTAGTATAAATACATTTTTTTAGCGTATACCTACGCCTTTTTCTTCTCCTTTTTGCTCTCCTACCCACTTTTTTCCCCTTTTGGTTTCGTCCACAATTGGATTTTAATCTAAAAGTTGTGAAGAGATTGGATTGGATAGGTTGGGTGGACAAACTGGTTTACTAATTGCTCCAAAGAGTGGAAACTGAGCTTGTTTCAATTCCACGCATCTGTGGAGAGGAAAAGGTAGGTTGATGAGCCCTTTTTTGTTAGGTGAGAGGGCCTTGGAGACTAAGATATTATGCCAATTAATTTATTAATCCCTTCATATTTATTTACAACTTTATATGCCATTGGTCAAAACTTTAAATATGTTTCATATTTAAGTGTGACTTTATTAATTAAGATGCATCATTACATTCTCACACATACGAGTACATATATACGACTTTCCAAGAAAAATGTATATAACTGATCGATGTTTTTTTTACCATTTTCGTGCATATAATATGTTTTAAAGATGAACAACAAAGTTAGGAACCAAATGATCACTAGACCTACAGATCCACCTCAATAATTGGCATGAAAGCGTGACTTGTTTGCACCCCAGCAGAATTAATGCAGCAGTATCATAACCCCTGTTAGCGATAGTGTAAATTGTTAAACTCCCCAAACAGCTCAAAATACCTAATTCTTGTGATTATGAATTTTGAAACCCTACTTGACTGCAGTACAAAAATGAAAAATCCAATCATTTTTTTCTTCACAAAAGTCTATAATCATTTTTATACTCATCTAAATTTTTAACATTAATAATTTAATTAAACTATATAGTGGTTATACTTATCTAAATTTTTAATGTACAATTATAATAAAAAGGTAAAATATAAAAATTGGGCCTATTTCTAGGTCTGTACTTTTTTTTTTTGTTATAAAATCAGTTGCATAAGTAACAATATAGCTTTATTAATTAATAACATATTCAAAATAATAATGTGAAAATATAATTTTGAAATTCATAATACATTATGCACAATTAAAATTATATTTAACTTGTATAACAATTACATGATTACTTTTCCGCGTAAATTTAAAATTCTATGTTAAGGTGCTGATAATATCCAATGTAAATCGAATATATATATATATATATATGTATATGAAGTTAACTTTTCATGCTTACATAATCATATATTTATAAAATTATAATACTTATTTATCCTTGCATGAATTTATTTTTGGAAGTTACATCTTATTATGTTAATATAATTATAAGTTTAATATAAATTTTAATTTTATATGAAACAATTTTATATAAAAATAGTATAAAAATAATAATGAACTATTTTATTTATCACTGTCTAACTAAATTAAAAGTAAGAATATAAACTTGGAATTATTTAATCCGACTCAAATCGCTTATAATCATTCTGAGGTAAATTATATTAAAATTTTTATTAAAAGCATAAAAATAATTTGCATTTTTTATAATCAGATTAAATAGTATTTTGATTTAAAAACTATCCAAACTAAATCGGAAACATCTTATTCAATAGCACTGCAGAGTTTATAAAAGACAAATTAATGGTTCTCCTAAAAACAGGAACAGGCGTTACACATTTTTGTCATTTGTGGTTAGCAAGTGTCCATTTGATTTGAAATGGCATAATCAAAATTGAGTGATAGGTTAAGGAAGATAACCTCAACAACAAAAAACGAAAGGTTAAAAAAGGGGGCGGGTCCAGAGTCATATTTGACCTGTTGTTCCCTTTGAGTAAAGCTACCTCTTACTCAATTCTAATTTCTAGTATGATATGAATATGATTATTGGTGTTGCGTGCCATCTCTCTTTCATGACTCCCTAATCACCATTCAACCAAGATCCCCATCTCTGCAACTCAAACATAACACTCCATGCTTCAGTCTGTGCTTCCACAACTCTCTCTGCCAAGGGCTGTGGGGTGGATACACTTACATTAGTTAATCATTTTTTTATAGAATACAAGATTCATCAATTTAATTGTTGAATTGTTTGATATTATTACTGTTATTATGAATATTAAATTTTACATGATTTAAATATTTATAAGTATGTTATTTAAAATTTTTTATTTATATTTTAAAAATATATTATCTGTTGAAATAAAATAATACTATAAAATACTTAATAATTTTATTTTTTATATAATTTTATAAATTTAATTTACTTAATATGAATCTTCAAACATATCTCATTCTATACAAAAAAAAATATTAATTGATGTAAATGTGCAAGTTTAACACCTAGATTGATAATTTTACTTTATGTCTTAGGTGTTTTTATGAGCTTAAAGATATTAATAATTGTCTATTATGTATTAATCTTTATTTTAAAGAAGTTTGATTTTTCTTAAAGGTGTCATTTGTCAATTATAATTTTCATGGTCCTAATACTTTTTGGATACCTTAACTCGATACAAAGATTGTGTTTTTTATTTATTTATTTTTTAGTGGTTTTAGAAGAATGATATGTTCTTTGATGAGTAAAAAATGAATATCTATATATCATATTTTAAATTTCATTAATCAATTTTAAAAAGAACAGTTCTATGCTAATTTCTAAAAAATTATCTTTTAAACTCACCTTTTTCAGAAGATGTCATAGAAGCATCATTTTTTAAGTATTATAAGATTAAAGTGGACCTAAGTATAAAATGAACTATATGGATTGTTGTGCTATTATACAAGATTGTAATGGTAAATAGTTAACAATGTTTACTTTTTTTTTTTTTCATGATAATGATGAGTTTATTCGCTCTATGTGTTGAATTGAAAGTAATTTTTGAGTCTCCACTTAAAAAATTATTCTCTTGAAAAAATTAACATTAATTTCTCTTGAGATGTGTTCTATTTTGCAAATATTCATTATCTTATGTAAAACTTATATCGTGTATTTATATGTCATGTTTATGAAGACCATTTAATAGCTTAATAGCTGGCAAACTAGTTTATTTGATATTTTTGTTTAAAAATCTATTTCAACCTATAAATGATCCTCCATATGCATTATTTAGATTTTTAGTTTTAAATAGTTTACATATATTCTTTAATTTTTCTTTACAAAATATATATAAAAGAAAATTCATATATGCATTTTTTTTTTTTGCTTAAAGATGTCATTTGTCCATTATAATTTTCAGGGTCCTACTACTTCTTGGATTGCTACCTTAATTCAATACAAAGATTGTATTTCCTATTATCCATTTTTTCGTGACTTTAGAGTAAAAGGAATAATATGCTCTTTAATTAAGAGAAATTAAGTATATATTATGTTTTGAATTTCATTAGTTAATTTAAAAAGAACAGTTATATGCTAACTTTTAAGAAGTTATTTTTTAAGTTCACATCTTTTTGAGAGATATCATAGAAGCACCATTTTTTAAGTACTATAAAATTAATGTGAACAATAGTTCTAGAATAAACCATATGGATTGTTGTGCTATTGTACAAGACTATAGTGCTAAATAGTTAATAAGATTTTTTTTATTCTCTATGCTAAATTGAAAGCAATCTTTGAAATCTCCACTTAGTCATATTAAAAAGTTATTCTCTTAACAAAATCAAGATTAATTTCTTTTGAAATGTGTTCTATTTTGTAAATATTCATCATATCATGCAAACTTCTAGATTTTTAGTTTTAAATAGGTTACATATTTTATAATTTTTTTTACAAAATATATAAATAAAATTAAACAATTAAAAAATCAGTTCTAAAAATAATTTCAAATATGCTACAATTAATCAATATACATTTTAAAATATTTCATATATTTTAATACTTTTTTTTTTCAAGTTAAAGCTCTTAACTTTATCTTATTACAATTGAATATATTAAAAGTTTCAGGATAAAATCGTTTACATTTGATAAAACTATGAAACTAATAAGTTGGATTACATGAAAGTAATAAGCGACAACTAGTGACTAGGCAAAACTGATCATAAGTAACGAGAATTAGACAAAATTGATCGTAGATAACAGAGATCATATTGAACTGGTAGCAGGCAAAGGGATCAGGTAGAACTAATCAAAAGTAACAATGATTCAAAAGCAATAAGGGATCAAGCGAAATTGGTAAGAGGCAATAAGAAATAAGAATCACGCATAACATATCAAAGGCAATATCAAGCAACCAACAATCTTAGTACAGTCGCAGTGTCGAAATTTCAAAAGATAAAATTTAACAACTGAAAAATGGCAAAACAAGAATTGTACCACTCTAATACCATGTTAAAATTAAGAACGGAAAAAATGAGATAGAAGATTGTAGAATAATGGGTTTGATAATGGTAAGATGAATCTTTCAAGATTGAAAGTCTTGCAGCTTAGAAGAACTTACAAATAATTTATGAAAAAATTATGAGACTTCAACTTATTTTAATAAATTTCTATTATAACTTATTAAAATAAGTTATTTACCGTCTATCCCAATATTTTATTATTAATTTTATGATATAAATTATCGTTTTAAAAAGAATTTATTGAATACGTATTTAAATAGGTAGTTATCCAAACACACTTTAATATGTTTTGATAGATGAAAACTATTAAATTTTAAATAAATTCATATTTATATAATAAAAGTGTTTTAGTATAAGCAATTATTTATAAAACAATTCATTAGAGCAGAAGATCTTGAGTATAAAAACTATTTAATAAGATACACATCTATTGAAAAGATAAAATATATTAAGTGAATATCGTATCATTCAAAATTTGAGTCTTATATGTATATAATATTTTTTTTTCTCATGTTTATATTTAATGTATAGAAGTTTGAAGAGACATTAAAAAAAACCTTAAAAATGTGATTTGTCAAAAAGACATTTGTAAAAATATTTAAGTGTATAGAGCTTAGAGAGGTTTGTACAATCTATTAAACAGAGTCTATATGTTCAAATTTGAATAATGAAAGTCTTGACTAAAGATAAAAAACTAAACATAACTCTATCCTTATTAGGTGAACTACTACAAATTGTTTGTGTTTTTGTTTATTTCTACTCTTAATCATTTTGAAACAAATTATTTACTCAATGTAAAACTATTCTTGCAGTTTTAAATAACTTTTTTATTATTTTTTAAAAAATTAAATCTATTTTCTTGTTTTCTCATTTTTAAACTCCATTGTTATATTATTGATGGTCTCAATTTACAACAGGTTAATCACACCTGTATAAACAAAGCTACAGATAACAAACAAAAGAGAAACTAAGGAATTAGAAAAATTAGTACTACAAAGTCATCTAAGATATTTCAATATACTAGTAAATATAGTCCCTGAAATTGTAAAAAATATCATTTTAGCTCTTGAATTATTAAGCATAAGTTTTTTTTTTTTGTCTTTATTTATGTAATTTCATAAACTAAAATGATCAACATTTTTTATTATTTTAAAGATTAAATTAATAGATGGTCATAATTTCATAAACTAATTTAATTTATTATTATTATTATTTGGCCAACAATTTAATTTATGATTGTTTTTAATGTTTTACAACTTAATTTTAAGAATCACAGTAATGATGCATTTGTTTCTCATGTCTAAAGTGCCTTGCTTCTAAACCGTTCATCTTATTGACTGTGATTTTGCGTTTTCGGTCTCATAGATGTGCATCCATATGATGTTATAAAGAGTAGTTTCTGCATCTTAAACTTGCGTTTAGGTTTAGGTTTGGCAAGAGTTGGGGAAACAAAGGAACTGATTGATTCTATTCAAGCTCCTTTTTTTTTTCATTTTTTGTAAAATAATTTTTAAAAAGAAATTAATTTTAAAAACAATTTCAGAAATTAGAAAAACAAAACAAAATTCGAAATTATCAAAATTTATTTTATTTTTTATTTGTATAGTACTTTCGTATGCTTTTTTTTAAGAATAGTTAGTAAAAAACACATAATCCAACAACTTTAATAAAAGGTTTCGTTTTTGGTCGATTATAAAAGGGTTTAATTATCCTTTTCCTTTTGTGGAATGAAAAGCTTTCTTGGGCATTTGTGAAATGCTATCCAATATTTTTGTAATAGATAATGTGGCTGATTTTAATTAGAACCTTCAGGGCGGCAGATTATTCAAATACAATGACGATGCATGGCATCTACCTACTTAGGACAACTCCTAAGAACTTCAACAGAGCCAGCCGGCTTCTCTAGAGAAGTATTAAGATTCGTTTCTGTTTATGGAATATTACTATTTGCTCTGTTTTTCTCTGTTTTGTTCCCTCTTTTGGTAGATATACTGGTTGAAACTGTGACATCCAAAATGCGACCGCAGAAACAAATATGGGATGGGTTGTTTCCCGCAGTTGCAAATTATCTACCTCGCCTTAAAACATCACAAACTCACTTCATCAAATTATTATTTTTATATAGATCAAGTATCCACCATTAAAAGTAGTCTTGTTTGAGCATGATAGAATCACTGTAACTATAAGAGAACAATCCTCCAACAGTTGATCAAATTATAAAACATCATTTATAATTAAGACCAAAACAAGTAGTTATTAAAAGCACGGCAATCATAATCCGAAATACATTCAAATTAGAGTTGTTATTCCAAGCATTTATACAGTATTATCCAAGAATAGGTTAAGTCATTAAAAGAAAAAGATACTCCAGATAATAGTTACAATAACAATTTTTTTTAATGAATTGGTAATACGTGATTGGTTTATAGCATAACAGAAGTTTTACTGGCAATTGAAGTTGTTAAATTATTGACAAACCATTTTCATAAGGATTTGCCAAGCAACTCAGATATTTTTATTCACTTTCTCATACATTCATTTTCATCCTCGCAATGTCTGTCTCTTTTTTATCACACTATTCATCACATTTTATTTTTTCTCTCTTATCTTTCTCTTCTTCCACCCATTTCACACTAAAAAACGGGGTGTCAAATTATCATTTTCCTTTGTAAAGAGAGCGCAGCAGTAGGCTCTTCTTCATAAGATGACACCCAGCAGGGGAAAGATTGAGAAGACCAAATCTATACCAGGCCTCCGTATACAAGCACCAATTGAAGACTGAACTAGAGTTGCTTTCAATGGAATGATGCGGGAATACAAGGCACAAGCTCAAGTCCTACGCATAAGACCTATGGTATAATTTTTTTATCATTGACTACCACCTTCAGACTAAAAGTTCAAAACCAGTGACACAAGGCCTAACCAGGTAGCCATTGTTATGTAAAGCAAATAAACTTTAATATCACAGTAACTTGAAGAAATAACATTTTCAAAGACTTGGCTCTTTAAATATAGGTTGAAAGCTCAATTATAGGAATATAAAATCTTTCATTCAAGATCATGGCTTCCAAACAAGGGTACAAATACGTTAGGGTACAAATTGACATCCCATAATAGTAATTAAAAACCATAAGACTTTGGCCTAGATTTGTTCTTACCCAAAGAATTAATTCTATTCGCATGTTCTTCTTCCTCCTCCAGCTTCTTTCTCCTCGCAGCCTCTTCTTTCTGTCTCTGAATCATCTCTAATTCCCTTTGACGTTCCTCCTCCTTTCTTTGCTGCTCCAGAGCTTCCCTTCTCTGAGATTCTTCCACTCGCCTCCTATTCTCTTCAAGCATCTTATCTAGCTCTTCTCTTTCTTTCCGAGCTTGTTGCTGCAGGATGACAACACATCACAACCCCCAAATAACAACTTTCTTTTTGCAGTTGTGAATAACATGAATGATGGAGAGAGCAAAAAAAGAAGGAACTCAAATCTTGAATTATTTATAAAGCATTAGCAAGCGAAAATACCAAAAGATAAGGCAATTTAAGCAAGTATACACTTTGAAACAATTATAGATGCTGCATTACATTTCCAAGAACATTATTATAATCTGACTAATATTTGACGCTGACAGAGCCAACTCATTTTAGGATCCAGGGTTCTAGCAGGGTGACACCTTGTTTACCACTTACAAGACAAAAGTGCTTATATCTCAAACCACAACATAATTTATCCACACTAAATTTATAAATTGCTAAAAACATGACACAAGATTAATGCTTGAAAGTTGAAAGCCTCTCCAACATTATAATGTAATTTATTTAGACTTTAGAGAAAGATAAATAGCTGCTTGTGATTTTCCCTCCAGAGAAACAGAAAAGAAAACCCGGTTAGAATACTTACTTCTTTCCTTCTAGCTTCAGTAAGAGCATCTTCCTTCTCTTTTTCAAGTTGTGCTTCAACATCATCAAACAATTTCTTCACTCCCTCCGCTATGCGCCTTTCTATTTCTAATTTGACTTCCTCCGAGCTAAGCTTCTCCTCAACGTTTTTCCGAATTGCTTCTTCGAGTCTTCTTGCAGTCTCTTCTTCCAACAGTTTCAATTCTTCCTCATGTTGACGCCTGCTGCCAATAGTATATTGGAGTTAGAGACCATAAATTAACCATCAACGATGAAAAAGAAAGATGCACAAGCAAGTCATACTAATTTCTACACCCAGAAAAAATAGATAAAATGATACAATAACCAACGCTACACTTTGAAATTCCTTAATTATGTTCTACCCAGTTCATGTTCATCCATTGAGACGAAAATTGTGAGGCTATCACGCTTACAAGGCATACCTCTCTATCAAGTTTCTGATCCATAAGAAACGAAGTTTCAAGTGAAATAGTAGATAATGGAGGGAAGCAGCGTTTGTTCATCATATTTAACAAGTTGAACTTCCTTCAGGAAACCCAGAAGAGAAGAATGAAATAAACCTGTTGCATTTTCAAAGCGAATCATAATCTTCAAATGTCTATGAAGTTAATTTTAACACCAAAAGCATTGTATTCTTAAAAAGGATAACCCTAGACAGCGAAAACTCATAGCAATGTTTTGTATTGGTCTCAAGAATTGTTATATAATTGATGAGATGAAACAACACTTATTTATAATAGAGTAAAAAAGTGGAAAATGAAAAAGCAGTGTTAACCTTTTGTTTGATTGTTGGGGTTTTTTGGGCGAAGGAGAGAGGGAAGAAGAGCTTCTGCTGGTAGTGTGCCTTGAGCGGCGCTTGTGGTTGTGGTGCCTGAAATAACAACAACAACAACAACAATCACAAAGAGAAGCATAAGAGAATAGAAGAAGAGAATACATACCTTGAAGTTCGAGAGTGGCGATGAGAAACAGGGGAAGGAGAATATCTTCTTCTGCGTGATGGGGAGCGTGACAAACTGCGACCCATATCTCAATTCTCAACAATCAAAACCCTACTCACCACTGCACCTCTTTATGTGTTCCCACTGCCAAAGCTCTCCCTGTACACGTGCTTTTTTTTTAACAAAAAAACTAATTCGTTTAAATAAATAAATCAATATAAATTGTATAAATTTACGGAGCAAAAGATAAATTAATAAAAAAAATTAAAAACTAATTAGGAAGTATAACTGTTGGGATTTGAAATGAGAAATATGATTTCAATATAAATAGAAAAGTTCAAAATAAATGTAAAGTTGAATTTAAGGAAAAAAGGCAACCATAATATAAAATTAAAATTTTAAATCAAGTCATAATTTTAAATATATATGAATAAATAATGGATATACCATAAAGAAAAGTTAATATATTAGAAAGTATTTATATTTAAACATAAGGATTTAAATTTATATGTTTGATGATTTGTGCGCAACAACTATCTGATAAAAGAAGGTATAGAAATTAATATTTTTAAGTTTATTTTCTCTTATCTTCCTGTTTATAGAGCTATCTAATTTTAGTCTTCTAATTTTTAATTATGCAATTTTAGTTTTTTTTTCCCTTGATTAAGCAAATTTTAAACTACCATTAAGTTATATCTAACACATCCCACATTGCAACAGTGCCTATAGAGGACATGCCATCATTGCGATTAGGGATGCACCTTCTCATGGTTTATATTTCTAGACCTAATTGGCTCGTTGTTGAGTTTTTAAAATTTTAGCTTAATTATATTTTTTTAATGATTGTATTTTAACTTATGTAAATTTTAGGATAATTTTACATTTTGTTACTTTATTTATTAAATTTTAATTTATTTTTATTATAATTGTTATTTTATTCATTAAAACTTTATTGTTGGAAATGGTAAAGTGTAACTTAATTAAAATGGATCCACTCAGGAAAAAAAAAGGTTACCGAAAAGAGTAAAAAATGAACGAATTTTGAATTTAAAAATTGATTTTTTTTAATTAAGATTTTGAAATAGGCAACTCTAACTCTCTCTTAATCTTTTTTATATTCAAACCCTAAGTCTCCATTTAAGAATTCCTCCATCATTCACATCGGTGTTGTCTCCTTCTCTCGTTATAATCATTGCCTATATAATATATGAAGCGAGTTCTCTGTCACAAAAGTTGATGTTCCTTCTAAATCATATTAGTTACAATATTTTGTTTATTTCCTTATTATTTAAGATTATGAATGATTTATATTTAGTTTCTTATGTTTTTATTACGATAATCATATGTAATTAAATAGCCTTTATCATGAGACTAAAGATGAATTACTGTGATGTAACTTGTTTTAAACCACATTTTAATTTTGTGATATTGATATTATTTATCTATTAAAATTATTTTTTTATTTTTATTCTTGAATTAGTCATTTAATGATTAATTTTAATTCAATTAATATGTAATTATATTATTAATATGTTAATAGAACTAAAAGGTATTTTGAGTTTAAAAGTCATGACAATCACATTTAATAAATTTAATATCTTTTAATATTTTTTATTTTTTATTTTTTATTGTCTATGATCATTAAAATAATATTTAAATAAGAATATTAACATTATTCTATTATTATTAAATAATAATAATAATAATCTATTAGATGTGTGATAATTGCATTAACACAATTAAATATAATTGGCTTAAGACACACATATCTCATCATAAAAAGTCAAGCCTAATTAACTTTATACTTTCTTTGCATTTTTTTTTATTTCTTGAACCATTTTTAATTCTTATCATCAATTCTTTAATTTTGAACTGTTGGATTTGGTTAACATTTATAAGAACATTAGTATAACTCATTCAGAAGAATAAAATATGCATTACACTCTTTCTAATTTTAGCTTTATAGAAATTAAAATAGAAAACTAAATATATGTGGATTTAAAACATTTTTAAGTTAATAATATTATAAAAGTATAAATTTTAAATATAATATTAAATATTATAATATTATTAATATTTAATATAAACAAAAATATTATAATAACAGTAAAGAAAATTTTATTTTTATATACCTACAATATTTTATGAAAATTATTTGATTGTTATACGTTAGTGTAAATTTAGAATATGCATTAAAAATAAACTGTTTTACGAATCTATAGATATAATTTTATTAAAAAGATTTCTAGTTTTTATTTTATGATTATCATAATATATACAAAGTTTTATTTAGGTCACTAATGTTTCACTTGCCGGTGATTTTTTGTGATACCATAATAAGTAATCCATAGAATTTATTTTATTTTTAAAAGATTTATTTGATATTTTTATATATCTTTTAAAGTTTATTTCTAAAGTTTGGAAATATAAAATTAATGTAATATTTAAATTATTAAATAAGTAATATTTTCTAAGTAAATTATAGTACTTTATTTATTACAATATATAATATTTTGAATAGTATAATAATTAATAAGAATTAATAAACTCTAGATAGTTAACGCAATAAGGATATTTAGCAAAACTTACGGATAAGTTATCTAAATTTTTTAAAACTAGCTAAAAATTGAAAGAAAGGAATCAAAAAGTTAACTGATTGAGTTTAAAGTATTTGATAAATTTAGCTATTGAACTAGCTAATAAATGTAAAATAATAAATAGAGATATAACTATTTTCTTAGTTAAAATTTTGAAATTTTGGTAATGATATATTTTTAAATAATAGTAAATTACATTTTGCTCTCTTTCTCTTTTCTATTTCAAAAATTATATAACTCTCTTTCTTAAAAATTTAAAATGCATAACAGTTTAATTCATTTTAAGTTTTTCATTAAAGCACACTTAGAAAATAAATTAAAATACTTTTTATTCAATTTATTTTTTTATATAGTCCAATTTTTATTTATATACTCTAATTTCCTAAATATTTTTCACTTTATCCTTTTCTTTTAAATATGTTAAAGTCCTAAATCATTTATGTATTGTATGTTTTCAAAAAATTGTCAAATATTTTTGCGCTTTATGCTTTTATTCCTTGATATCAAAACAAGTCTTCAAAGCAATGATAAATACTTATTATTTTATGAAAAATACATTGAGCTCGTTAAGTTTTTTAAAATATTGACAAAGAAAGTACAAAATTTATTAAAAAGGACACTTTAATTAAAAAAATCAAGTGTTTATTTAACAGTGCTTTTTAAAAAAACCCTTAAAATGTATTAAATTGTTATTCCTTTTAATTTTTTTTATAAGATTAAGTTGAATAATTTTAAAAAGGGAAAGGAATGTAATTTACTCTTTAAATAATTATAATATTTTAATTTTATTCTCATTTAAAAATATTTTTATTGAATAAAATGAGATAATTTGAATCTTATAAAAACATAAAACTTAATTACTTAGTTATATTTTAATAAGATTTAATAATGAAAGTTGTTTATAAAGACAAAATATGATAAAAGTAAAGGAAGTAAGATTTTTTGCTTTTTTTTTTTGTTTTTGCTATTATAAAGGAAGTAAGATTCTAAGAATTGAAAGGGTAAAATAAGAAATTATTAAAAGATGATAAGAATAAAAATAAAAAACATGATTTTTAGTTAGTAGCTAAAAAGTAACATTAAAAAAAAAAATGCTAGTTAGAGTAATATTAGAAAAAGGTTAGTGACTATTTATTTCAAGTACTTTACTAAACAAAACTATTTTTGTTAAACAAGCTTTTAAGCTAGCAAAATAAACTTTGTAATAGTTGAAATGTCTTGGCAAATGCATTTTAAATATTACAAATATACATATATTTTTTAGTTCAAGGTAAAAAAAACAGTATTGTTCTCAAATTTAAAAGATAAAAAACTACACATGATAGGTGGGGTTCAATCACAGGAATTCTACTGAATAGATCGAAGCCACGTATCTATTACATTGACACGCACACACATAGTAAATTTAATATCTCAATTTTTTTTAAAATGTATTTGATATTATAAATTCAATGTTAAATAAATATTTATAAAATTAAATATGCAGTTCCATCCTTTCGAACTTAAATTATGACTCTTCATTTATCATAATATATAATAATTTCAATACTCAATTAATATTATAGTTAATCAAATTTAAATAAATCATGAAAATGAAGAATCCATACAATTAGCTCTACTTCTTTCTAGTTTATTTGTTTATCAGTAATTAGCTTCAAATTCTTATACATTATTTTTATCCATTTTTCTCTTCATATTTATTTTATTTTATAACGGTATACTATTTTTATCTTTTTATTTAAATTTTTATTACATTAAATTATTTATTATAAGTTTTTTTTATCTCATATAATCCAAAACAAAGCATATGACTAACATTATTTTTACTAATTTAAACATATTATAAGTTCTAATAAAAATGGCAAATTTTAATTTTAATTTCTGTAATTTTTGTTTTATATTTTAATTTTTTTAAAACTTTTATTTTTAATCTCTATCCTTAATCATTAAATAGTTTATTTAACTAATGTATGTTAATTCTTTTCATGTATAGTAGCTCATTATTCATGCTTAAAAAAATCACTCAAATAACACAAATTAACATTTTCATCAACGAATAGCGTAAAAATCATTTTTGTTAACGTATATAATGATTGGGTACATAAACTAGATATCTAAAATCAAAGTTAATAAATATTCATCGCGTTAATAGAAACCAAAATTTTAAGGGTCTTGTTAAATTAAAAATGATAGTTTTTATTAGAATTTACGTGAACTGCATTAAATAAATGCGACAAGTACATTTATTATATATTTTGAAAAACCATTTTTATTTTTAATTTCTTAACTAATGTTTTAAGAATTTATTATATTTTTTGATAAAATATGCAGTGGTTATCATTTATCAAAATTTAATAGGCAAAATAAAAATATAAAATTATAAAAACTCTAAATATATTTATATTTTGAATGGTGGATAGCATAACCAAACGTTCACTTATATTCTTGGAATTGCAAAGGGTGCGTGACGCAATAGAAATTAGAAAGCAGAAACACTTTCCGTCATTTTCTCACACGTCAGTTGTCATTCTCCATCAGCACAACCTGAGTTTGCTGCAGCTCCGTTGTCGCATAAAACACAGGTTAGCCATACACGCATGTTTCTTCTTTCTCCCAACACTCTTCAAGCACTTCACTTTTCTTTTCTTCTCTTTTTATGTGAGTGTGTGTGGTGGGTGGAAATGAAGACCACTAATTCCTATTCTTCTCTCTTTTGTGTTGTTCTTCAAAAGAAATACCCTTTTCCCCCTACATGCCATTAGATGAAACACCACCTTTGCTAGTTGGTTAGTTAGTAGTTGCTAATAATTTTTGTTTACTATACATGCTTCCAAGATCATCATTGCATTTCTTTTCAGTGTAGATTGATTATTAATAAATAAATAGATTATAATGAACTCTTTTTTTGGGTAATAAGAAGAAAATACTATTGAAGCCAATGAGTTAAGCTTTAAGCTAGGCAAATTTTGATAGATTATGAAATTATGAGAGAGCGAGTTACCAGCATTTATTGATGGGAACTTGGTTCTTCAGAACAATTTGTACTACGGAATGGTACCCACTGCATCGAACCAAAAGGCATTGGCTTTGAAGCAGCTACCCAGAAACAGAACATGGGACAGTGAATATGATATAGATAGTCATCTGCAAAAGAAGAATAGGGTCCTTTAAAGTGGAACTGAAGAGTTCAACTACTTCAATACCCTTTTGCAGGAAATCGTTATTAAGGATCCAAAGGGTGAACCAGAAATGGTGCAATTCATGGATGGTTTATACAGCATTGTAGAGTCTCAGGTGCTTCATGTTGAGGACCAAAACACAAAGAACATTGCAGAAGAAACTACGACAGAGGATGATGATGTGATTATAGATCTTGAATATAAGTATTTTTTTGGTCATTTGAAGCCTCATGGAAAATCTTATGTACTCGATATCCCTGAGGATAGTGTCTTTGTGAAATATGAGTCTGAATCATCAACTCCTGAGAGTACATCTATTTGCGCAACCTATACTGCAAATTACGTTTCAAATGAAGAGGTTAATGTGTGCCTAGACACAGATATGCAACAAGGTACAAAAGCAAAACGCTCTGCTGTCAAGAGTACTAATGTTATTAGTAATCATGTGGCTTCATACTCACAGAAGCATAGAGGTATGAACCCAAAAGGTGCAAAACTCTCTGCTGCTAAGAATGGTAATATTAAGAGCAGTGATGTGACTTCAAAGGTTCAGAAACATGCTGGTAACTGTATATTTAAGCGCAGGAGTAAGAGGCTGAAAGAGCATGCTATGAAAACTGATAATCCCTCTGCCATAGCAGCAAGAGTGATAGTGGAGATTGAAGATAGTGATGATGAAGTACCAGATAAAAGAAGGTCCATGCAGGGCCATATTGTATGTATCTAAAATCATGAGTTTGTTCCTTTTGCTTATGTTCAATTTTGCCGCTTTCTTTTATATATATATTGTGTCTGTGTGTGCTGTTTTCGTTTAATTAGTTTTTGTTGGCTACATTATGTGTTGCTTCCTAGGTGAAGGTGGAACATTGTTGGGAAGAATATGATGAAGCCAATGGAAGAATACTTTTCAAAGAAAAACTCATGGAAGAACTTAAGGTGCCTTACTGTGAGGATGAGCACAAGAGACTTTTACACGAAATTACTGTTCGAAAGCCAGTTCAACACCATAGAGACCTGCGTGGGCGTATCAAAATCTATGAGGAAGATTATTCTGGGTTTTCTTTTCTTGATCATTATGTTGGTAAGTTGATTTAGCCCTCGTCTTTCATTTTCCACTTGCTGTGTTAGCATGATACATATTGGATGGAGTTCCCTTGTTTGTCATTACATTACTAGTCTGTGCTTACCAATTGGGATGTGAAGTTGCCTTTGTATAGACTATAGAATTAAATTTTTTTTTGGAAGACTAGCTACTATGAGATGTGTGCTCAATCTCCTCCTACAGATCTTGCAGAGACAATAAATTCAGCTCATGATGATCATCCAAGAGTTCTGAATCTCCTTCGTGGATTTTTCTATTGGTTGAAAGTAAGTATGTTATGGTAATTCAGCATCTCAATACACGCTTCACTTACTATAGCTTTCCATGCACTGCTCACTTGATGATGTCTGACTCTATATTGACCTGAAAATATTTAACCTTAAACGCATTTTAAGATGTTTGTGTTGAGAAATATGGCAAGAGCTAGAGACAATTGAGAGAAAATAAGTGATATAATACAGTACAATACAATACAAAGCTAAATACTATACATGGTTTCTAAAAACTAAAGAGTGCTAACTAATCCCGTGTGTATCTATCAAACTATGCAGTCGTGTGAATAGTTGGGTATGTGATTTGCAATTAGATTTTGATTTTCTTCCGGTGGGTAAGCCTCTGTTGCCTCATTAATTAGGCTATGCCCTTGAATTAATTTTCAAGATAAAACAAAATATAATGGGATGCTCAAATAACTCTGTAACAGTTTACTTTGAAGGTCCACGTTGAACCAAAAGTTATCTAAGAAGTCTTTTTCTTCTTTATCGAGTTAACGCACACTTTTATTATGTAAAGTAGTCATCATATTTGAAAATATGTGCTTTTATATCTTGATCTGCATTACCCCATTTTGCAACACTACGACGGTCCGTAGTCTTTATATTACAATCACCTAAATATTGATCTTAGTTTATCTTTTAATAGTCCCAAAAATTAGTATCTCCATCTAAAATTATCGTTTTCTTTGGTATATCATGGAATTGAAGTTAGCTTCCCGAAACTTGCATCGCTGTATATTAGTTTAGAATTAAAGGTGCATTTGATTAGACAGCCTAATTAAGTATTTGTTATAAGTTAAAAAAACATATTTTGATAAGTTATATCAAAATGCTTATTGAAAGAAGTTAAAAAGACCTTATGTGACTTGTAAATTATTTTTATAAGTTATCTATAAGCTCTTCTAAATGACCTGAGATGTATGAAATTAGAGGCTCTATTGCAGTGTGCTCTTTCTGATTTATAAATGGTGTGTGCTGGCAGAATTTATCACATGAAGGGTCGTTCATGCCATGGAAAGATCCATCGTGTTTGGATGTACTGCCACAATAGGAAGGAATCCTTGTTTGCTTTTCATTTTCTAAAATGATGCAATTAATTTAAACTAGACAGAACAGAGCTTAGAGGGTGTTTCGCCATGAACTCATTTTCTTTACTTTTGGCAAAACTTATGATTCGATGCTTGGTGGGATATGAACAGGTTTATCCTTTTTGCGTCTGTAATATAATATTAAGATTAACGATATGAGATATTGCGAAGATATTGGTATAGCTGTAATCCCATAATATCTGGATTGATATAAGAGGTATTTTAGGCATGCAATATTTGTAAATATTTTAGAAATAACAGTAGCTATATTTTATCACTAGTTTGGTGCATAGAATCATAATTGATATTTAGAATTGTAACTTCAATTCTAATTCCATTAAAATTGGAATTGATTCAGAATTATAATTCTATATTTGGCGTATTTAAAGAATTAGAATGTAGAATTAAAATTGTAAGTTGAAATCAAAATATATAATGTGGTGTAAGATTTAAATTTTTAAAAAATAATTTAATTTTATTTAATAACTTTTTTAAAAATAATGTGTTAATTAAAAATACAAAATAATTATTAAATAAATTGTTAAAGATGATAATTTAATTTTTTTTTCAAAAATTATAATATATTAAATTTATTTTTTATGTTTAATTTATTATTAAAATTTAATATTATGTTATGAATATCTTTCTCATATATTAGATGAAAGTATACGAATGCTCCCTACTATAATTTAATTCTCAAAATTAAAAATACAAATTGAATATAAGTGCTTTTGAAAATTCTTATTTTGAGACCATGAGCTAAAATAAATAGAAACATTATAATAAATTCTTCTACTTTTACATAATAAGTATTACCTATAGTCTTTTTCTTTTACGTAAAATGTTACAAAGCAAGCTTGTTTAGTAAGATGTAATTAATATAGCAACTTGACATAATTTATTATAGCAATTTTCATGAATCTCATGATATAATTGTCTCAAAACCATACGTTTTAATGTGTTTTTATCACTCTGTTGCATCTAACACTAGTTTTCTCTTTTTTGTTTCTCTAGTACTCTCAATAGTTTTTGAATTAATTTTTAATATTTTCTCTGACATCTAACAATTCAAGAAAAGTAAACAATTTATTATACAATTAACATAAATAATATAGTTTGCGACAAGTGTAAAAAGTATAGAATAGCAATAAATTATAGTTTATAGCAAGTGCAGGACAGGAATACAATAGAATAACGTAAACATATTAAACATATAACAAATATAAAAAAAGACAAAGGAAAAAGAAAATATAAAAAAAGAATAGGAAGAATAAGAGGAATATAGAAAAATTACTTTATTAATAATCAATGTAAAACGAGGAAGAAGAAAATAGAGAAAAATAAAAGAACATAAGAAAAGTAGTAATATTAATAATCAACATACAATTAGAGTTAAAAGGAGAAGAGTACACAGAAAAATAGGAGAACATAAAAAGAAAAAGAAAGATGCATAAGAAAAAAAAAGAACAAAGAAAGAGAGAGAAGAAAGTACTTGACCAAGAAAGTATCACGAAGACGAGGAATCATGAGGAGAAGTTACGATATATGAGAGTTTATTTGTGAATTATGATAAAAATTCAAAGTGGGTGCAAGTTATGAATTAAAGTGGATCAAATTTAGTTGTCATAAAATCTCATGGAATTGGTCCATAGAATTATAAATCTCAATTCCAAATGGACATCTAAACATGATAATTAAAATTCTGAAGTCTAATTCTAATTCTAAAGTCAAATTTCATACTCAATTCTATACACCAAACAAACACTTAGAAGTATTTGTAATAGGAGCGAGTCATGTTTGCATCTTTGTACCTATATATTTTCAGTTCAGGTTGGAATAGAAAGACAAAATATGATTATTCTTTCCAAAAGAGACCTCTATGGCATGGTAGTTAAATTGAGATTTAAATCGTGAATCGAAAAACTTATTTTGTGAATTGTAAATCAAATTGTACTGTGAATCATAAGATTTATGACCATTACTAAAACTACAACAACAAATACTCTAATATAAAGAAAAATTCAATACATCTATATATTGACATTTTATAATCAAATACTTCTTTATATAACTAATAAAATGAAACATAGTACAATGATTCAAGGCACATAAGTCATAATGACACAAAAAAGTTGTAATTGTATAAATCATTCATATATACTTTCAAATAAGCCACAATGACAAAAAAAAAAAAAGGACTGTGACTGCATAAGTTAGCCATATATACTTTCAAAAAATTTCAAAGAATAATAGAAACTAATAGCAAGTCACAATTTCTAGTTCTAGACCATAAAAATATTCAAAAGGTCTAAATTCCAAATATATAATATAGTCATTCTGCTCAAAATCAATATCACTTAGTTCATCCTCATTTTATAGTAGCAAAGATTTTTCTTATTCTTCTTCTTCTTCCCCTTCCTTCCCATCTCTAAATATCTCTTGATTCTCTTCAATTTGACTCTCATCCCCAACTATAGATTTTTCCTTCTTATTGGTCCTAGCATTTAAGTTTCTTGGACCTATAAAATAAAATATAAGCATTAAGCATGTTAATATATATATATATATATATATATATATATATAGTTTATAATTATATTATTTTTTCATTAAACAAATACCTATCTTCCTTGTCTTGCTTGAAACTCCTTCATCAAAAGTGAAACACTCATGTATATCCATCCAAGAAGCATAAATTGGTAAGTAAGGGTCTTCTTTTTCAATAATATACTCATCATTTAATTTAATTTCAGACCAACGTATAGGATCATAAGTTTCTCCCTTCTTTTATAGCCTTTTATCTCATATCAAGTAGAAGATTGTACTAGACAAAAGCAAGTGCGTTTGATTTTTGTTGCTCCAAGCGATTTCTTCTCTTGTTATACACTTGGGCATATGTACTCTAGTTTCTTTCACAACTTATAACATTACATGTGAGACTTAAAATTCTTATAACTACTTTTGTTAGCTCTTTGCACTTTCCACCATAACTTTTTCACCAAAGTCCTATTAAAACAAAAATAAGATGTATGTCATAGAAAGATATTGCCTAATTTGCCTTAAAATTAAATGTTTAAAACTTTAAATTATGAAAAAACTAATTTAAAACTACCAGTTGCTTCTTGTCTCTAGTATCTTTTGCCATGTTCGTTCCAAAAAGTCCCTTAATAGTCTTGAATTTTTCAAGTTGTTGATCAACAAAAAATCTTGTCTTTCTATCTTGAACCATTCTTTGGTTTCATACAAGCCAAATAAAATCTCACTATTCGAATTGAATTTTTTGTCATAGTGAAACCTAATTAAAGAAGACATAAGACATATAACTTAAGTTACCCAATATTTAAAATAGTGTAAAAAACTTATAACTTTATTTACCTAGGATTGAGATAATAGCTAGCTGCATAGAGAGGCCTATGTGGTTTTTTTTGTACATTGACTCTTGATTTTAAAAGTTTTTAGCAATTTATTCTTTAGCTTTATCCATTGCTTCATAAATATATGGTATAACTGGTTTTGAATCATCATTTACAAGGCTTAATACTTTTACAGGAGGAATCACACACTTTCAGCAATACTGAATGGATTTCCAAAACCTAGAATCACTCAAAACTAAGTTCTTGACTTACTTAGCCTCACTTTTACTAGCATAAGAACTTTTATTTCATTCTTCTCAAGCAAACATAGATTGAAGAGCATTCTTTTGTTACATAATACAATTTAGTGTAAGATAAGAAGTTACAAACCTTGTTACAGTTGGTCTTACTAATTTCCTTCCTTTAGAATGTTGTTTATACAAGTTAAGGGCTCATGTATGCCTATATATGTAAGTTGTAATTTTTTTTACATTTGAAACCGTGTTAAAGAATATTGAAAGTTGTCCAATATCCTTAAGCACCAAATCTAAACAGTGAGCTGCACAAAGGGACTAAAACAATTTTGTCCTCTTCTCTTCTAGTATTTTTCCAGCTGCTACAAGGTTAGAAGCACCATCTGTCACAACTTGCACTACATTATCCTCCCTAATTTCTTCCACCGTGCCATCCAATAATTCAAACATTTATTTGGCATCCTTGATGACATCACTAGTATCAACCGATTTTAAGAAAATAATCCCACTTGGAATGTTATCAGGAAAATTAGTAAGAGATTTTCCTTTTTCATCTGTCATTCCATCACACATCAAAGTGCAGCTCCATTTCTTCCATTCATTCTTGTATTTCTCTAAATTTTCATGGATGTTATTAACTGTTTTTTTCAAAAAAGATACTCTCACTTCATGATAAGTAGGAGGTTTTAAAGTCCTATCAAATTCTCCAATAGCTTTTAACATTTGAATAAAATGGGGCTTCTTACCAAATTAAATGGTAAGACATTAACATATATGCATTTGCAAATTTCTTGAATGACAACATCTCTATCTTTGAACATTGTATTCAGTGTTGTTTGCTTTAGAGCTTTAGATGTCCCTTCCTTTTCTTTGCTAACAAAAGAATTCATTTATTCTTTTTGAAGACCACTTGCATCTTGGGTCGCAGCTTCTTCAAAACACTCCAAGCTATTTTCATTTTTTTTCTCTTCCAATAGTTTGATGAATATCTCCTTTACCTCATCTAGAATACTTGTATAGGCACTTACATTTTCCCTTGTTTCAACTAAATGATGTTTCATCCTTACAACTTTACTCCAACAAGTATAAGAATAATATTTGTATTTTACTAACAACATGTGTGAGGGAACACTTTCACAATGTTTCCACGTGATATCACTCTTATTTTTTTGGTAGGACCCATTAGTCTCCCCTAACAGTAAACAACAAACAAAAATATTAGGAAAAAAACAAATATAAAATAGGAAGTAGGAAGTAGGAACCATTAGAGAGGCAGGGGCATAGCACGAGAATGAGAAATAACTTGAGGGACCACAAAAAATAAATGAAAGGACCACCCGAAACCTAGCACTAAAATAAGAGAAAAATAGAGAAAAGGAGCACAACACGAGAATAGAGAAAATAAAGGTTTTCTTTCAATGTAAAATAACGTATCTGGTAGAATGGGTCTTGCAGAAGTATCATTAAGTGGAAACAACAATTTTTTCAAAAAAAAAAAAAGTTTTTAGGGATTTTAGTGAAACGGGTCGCGCTAACCTGACCTGATTGGTGCGCGATCCGGTACGCAGTTGCATAGCATTGTGGCCCTGAAAATCGGGATTTAGGATAGAATTGTAAGATTCGTGTGATTATGAAAGTGATTCCACACAAAAATGATACTTACATACGATTCATATCGTCCTACAGCTAAATTAGGACATTTCAGTTGTATCGTATCGTGATATCTGTAATACTAACTACAGTGCTCTATGGTATTAGAGTTTCACAGTTTTTATCCTAACAATCGTGCAAGATAACTGTCATAACATAAACGTCAGAACAACTAAAACCTGACCAACTAGATAAACCAAAATCCAACCCAACCAAAAGAACATCACCTTATAATTTGACTTCAAATGACAAATCCGAAAATGTGATTATCCAAGTGCAATTGCAAGGTGAAAACAATGAAGAATGGACCTTAGTCATGTGTACCTCTTTATGAGCATAGAAAAAATGGGTATTCATAGAAGGAACCATTGCAACACCACAAGAAGACTCTCTTAAGATGAAAGATTGGTGGACAATTCAATCCATATTAGTTTCATAGATACTAAACACCAATGAGCCTAATTTATGGTCCACCATATCCTAAATGAAAAATGCAAAAGATTTGTTGAGGAACATAAAGGAAAGATTCTCAAACACAACAATTGAAATCTAATATGGCCAGGTGCAAGCAATGTGGGATGGCAGTGGTAGCATACTATGGAAATATTGTGAAATGAGTTGACTAATTATAAGCAAATTCTTGTGTGTTGTTGTGGGGGATGCAAGTGTGACATTGTGTCCAAATTAGAGCAGTGTAGAGAAGAAGGAAAAGTGCACCAATTTCTCATAGGATTGGATGATGCAACCTATGGAACTATGCATTCAAATCTCTTAGCAATAGATTCATTGCCTTCTTTGAACTGCGTTTATTCAACTTTGATTCAAGAAGAAAGGATGAGAATGGTTACTAGAGCAAAAAAAAGGAGAGAGGAGAAATGATGAAATTAGTTGTCCAAATAGGTGAAAGAAGAGTAAGAGGATGACAAGGGCCTACGACTTAATATTTTTAAAGCTAGTTTGACTTCATCTATTTAAGTAATAGACTTAATTGAAACTTTTTAAAATGCTTTATTAATTGAATATGTTAAGCTTGAGTTTAAGAAAAAGTATATTAGACCTAATAAAATGACTTATTTAAGATTCATAAAATTTATAATAATATATTAAATAATTGTATATAAAAATTATAATATAATATATGAAATAGATTAAATTTTAAAATGAATAAAATCTTAAATTAGAAATCCTAATCCTTTTTGTTGGAGTTGGAAAGTGTCCTATTATATACCCTTAGAGAGAAAGAAAGAAAGAGAGAGAGAGAAAGTGCTACTTGTTGAAGTTTTTGTTAACTGTTGTTAGATCTGTCTTGTACACATAATGCTAATATACATTTATTTTTGTTGAATGTTTAGTGATTTAGTTATTTAAATTAAATATATAGTTTAAAAATGATTAATAGAAATATATAATTTTATTATAAATATTCAATATGCCGAATCATTTTACTTATGACATATTTAAATATAAATCTTATGGTCTTTATAGAAATATACCTATTTAAGTAGTTTGATAAACTATTTATAAAGAGACTGATCAATAGACAAATGTATCCATTGAGAAATAATAAAAGGTTTTAAAATAAGTTTATAAAATATCACTCCACAATGATTGATTTTCAATTATTAAGAATTTCTTAACTTAATTGTTTGAACTCAATAGATGTGAAATTAAATAAAAAGCAAGAATTAAAAGTAAATTAATTATCAATTAGATTAAGAGCAAAGAACATAACACACTTTTTGGTTAAACTTATCAGAGAAGAACTTAAGATATATGCATTTACTCATTTAATCATTTATGTTATTTTTCTGTTTAACTCTAAATTCAATTTTTTTATGATTATTAATTATTATACAATTAATATTAATACTCAATGGTAATACAATATTAATATTCTTTTATCTAAATTAACATCTCCAATAGTCATGTAAGACATCAATTAAAAAAAGCATAAAATACCTATAAACTTGTTAATTTAATAACAATTGAAAGCGAAAGATTGATTTGGTCTACCTAATCATTTGTCTTATTTTATCCTATAGATCCATTAACTAATCGAGGTACAGTCGTCTGACGATATAATTAATTAAGATTAATAAGAAAGTACATTAGGATAAAAGCTAATCACGAACGAAAATTAAATTTAGATTCAAATATCAAAATCTCATAAATTCATGAACAAATATTCTCATAACCCTAACTATGGACTTAGTTACTCATGTTAAAGAAAAGAAATAAAACAATCATCAACAAAGTCATGATCAAAAGAAATAGCAAAATAGATATGAGATGAGTTTTCGATCTTTAAGTATGGTTGCTCAAAAATTCAAGCTCCACTAAGAATGTGTCAGGAGAAATCAAAGACAAAGAGTAAAAATAAGGTATAAATGATGTAAAATATGATATCTAATTCGATGTCTGAGGTCTCTCTTTAATAAGATATAAAAATCTTAAAAGTTGTTCATAATTGGGCTTGTCACAGATGAGCACAGTCATGTAAGGCTATAAGCACAATTGTGCATAGACTTGAAGCACCTCTGTGCTTATTGAAAAGGTATGGGCATACTAACTGTTGTGAAGTTCTGATTTTCTATCAAGTTGGGTACAAAACACATCCAAAATCCAATGTAGTATCTTTATACTAAATTGCACAATTAACATATAAATTAGTATAAAATTTAAATAAAATAAAAGTCAAACATAAGTACATGATCTATAAAAGAGGATTTAAATACAAACTTATCAATACTGAAGCATAAAGGAGACTAAAAGATATAATCAGAAGGAATTATTTGAACTGGAGAGAGTAGTCCTACCATTAATTAAATAAATTATAAAATGATTCTCTCTAATTTTTTTTATTAAAAAATATTGTACTTGTGTTTTTTTTTTCTTGAATTTTTCTAAAAAACTATTTAAACTAAAATATTATAAAATAGTCTACTCTAATTTGCATTAAGATTGATGTTTTAAACGAAAAAAACAAAAATTATAGTTACTAAATCTAAGAGGTGATCCGAATAAAGAGACTTCGTGTATGTGTCTTTTTTTAGGATGGTGATTTCTTATATATTTTTTCTTCAATAATGTAACTTTTTGTGTTTAAAACCTATCATCCAAATCAATATCACTTTCTGAGTTGATGTGAGGAAGTTACTACCTATATTTGTTAAACATGTGATAGCAAAATGTATAAGCAAAACATGATCATAGCAAATATGTTAACTATGTATTGTTTATTTTCTTGCCTTTTCATGACAATAGCACTTCCTAATAATTTATTATTGTATTGTTCATCTTACGGTATAGGTCCTTTAAAAAAAATAGATATAAACCAAAATGTACCTACTACATGTATAGTCTGAAACTACCAAACTCGACACTAGCGTCTAATTAATTTGTATTTATATGTTGATTTAAAATTTCCTTTTATACTCTTTATTTATTTTACTCATATCTCTCCTCAAATTTAATATTGGAGTATATATTCATTAATATTACTTAAGATTTATTAGGTGATAAAAATATACTTAAAAAAATTATAATTAATATTATCTTAAAATTCCAAATTGACAAATAAATTAGAATATTATTTTTGAAAATGAATAGATAACTAAACAAAAAGTAGTAATCATTAAAATAATTCTATTATTTGAATATCACATAATTAACAGTATGATTAATATTTTATTTATTTATTTATCTCTTAGTAACTTTTTTATTTTTGATATACACACATCTAACAAATACTTCTCAAATTCAGATAGAAAAATAAAATTTAGCTTACTTTAATTGTAGAAAAAAACTATCCTTGTTAAAATGAGGCTATGCAGTGAAGATAATAGTAAAGTTAGAATCAAAGGTATATAGACACAAACTAAAAACAATCGATCAGATTCACCACAAGTTCAGACCCACATTATTAGCCTTCATAGGGCTTAAAAAAGTATTGACACACTCACTGCATGCCCTTGATATATACTTGGTGAAGTACATCAACAAACAGTGATATACACCATAATGATAGCGAATATACAACACAGAAACAATAAAGAATCAACTCCACCAAAGTCCATTTGACTCAAGTTGTGGCATGCATTACAAAATTAAACCACTTGGGTGGCACCACTTGAAGCCATTCCATGGAGGGTGGACTCCTCAGTGTAAAAGCTAAGTTTCTCCCCATCACCCCACAAAGCATAAGCTTCTTCCCCATGAACAGCATCATCTCCAATGAGCAACTCTTCCTCAGACATTCTCAACGGAACAATGAAACCAATGACTAAACAAATAATTGAGGTGACAACGAGGTTCCATCCAATGATAAACAATCCACCCACAATTTGTTTAAGGATTTGGACTCCACCTGAGCCTCCATAGACTCCACCTCTAGAGTTTGTAACAGACATGAAAAGTGCACATAGACGTGGCTCAGCGAAGAGACCCGTGAGTATACCACCTAGGAATCCAGCCACAGCATGAGTGTGGAAAACCGCTAGGGTGTCATCAACATTTTCCAACACTTTCAATTTCTTTCCCAATATCATCATCGTGAACCATGGAACACTACCTGATAGAACTCCCATCACTATGGCTGCCCATGCTTGAACCAAACCTGGTGCCATTCCAGAAACCATGCAAATGTAAACCAATAGGGTGCTTAAGTACACTGACTAATAATTATTAGAATAAACAGAGATGTAAAAGGACGTACCAGCAGCGGGAGTGATGCAAACGAGGCCAGTGATCATGCCCTGAACGGCTCCAATAACGGAGGGTTTCTTGAAGAAAATAACATCGAGCCATGTCCACACAAGAAGGCTAGTAGCAGCACTCACGTTGGTATTTAACACAGCCATGGATGAATCTGTGTTGGCAGCGTAAGGATCTCCTCCATTGAACCCTGCCCATCCTAGCCATAGTAGTCCTGCTCCTGCCAACGTTAGTAACACATTGTTTGGTGGGAATCTTTCCCTGTCCTTCCTTGATCTTGGTCCCACCTAATACAAATTTCATCTTTCAACTCCTCAACATCTTTACATGCATTTGTCAATTGTTGCTTCTTAATATTTTTGCAATTTCTTTTTGTGAATAACATACTAATTGTTTCCTTTTTATTGTGATGACATTACACGTAAAAAAAAACTTTCAAATTTGAACGGTGCGTAAACCGAGATCATAACCTTAAATTTATAATATATATCATGATGGTATATATATATATATATATATATATATATATATATATATATATATATATATATATTATGACGCTTATGTACCATGCCGCAACAATCCCTTTCTCCCCCGGCTTAATAAAACACTGTCAGACGATTTCAATCAATAATCTCTATTAAATTAAGAGGTTTTATTAATCATACATAGTTGTTGAAAAGATATAAAATTTAAAAGAATGCAAGATATCATACAGAACTAAGTTTTAAAATTGGGATGAATCATAGACACCCTTACCTTAAAGTAAATTTCTTTTATTTTCAGAAAGTAAAACACATGCAAATGAAAAAGTAGCAAGGACAGCAGTAAATACTAACCCAATAAGCAGCAGTGAAGCCTGCAATCCCAGAAGAGAGATGAATGACATAACCACCAGAATAGTCCATAACACCCCATTGGAACAAGAAGCCACCACCCCACAAGCTGAAGGCACCAACAGTATAAGAAAAAGTAACCCAAAGAGGCACAAACATCATCCAGGCCTTGAAATTCATCCTAGCCAACACTGATCCCGCCAAGATAATCACAGTGATGGCAGCAAAAACACACTGAAACCAGACCATGCTAGCCATAGGATAAAAGGGCTCAATCTCTGGAGTCTCTATAGTTCCATTCTCATAGAAATGCCTTGTAGCTGGCAAAATGGCTTGTTTGATGAGAAACTTTTGTCCCAAAGCTGGGCCTGCTCTTCCCCATAAGGGTAACAACTTTCTCCCAAAGGACATCTTGTAAGCCCAAGTGACCCAACAAATAAGAACCGCTGCAAATGCATATAGGGCCATGAAAGCAGAGTTCACGGCCCACTTCTTCTTCACTATGCTACCATATAGGATCACTAACCCTGGCATGCTTTGAATCCCAACTAGTGTTGCTGCTACCATTTGCCATGCGTTGTCTCCTTTGTTCAACCAATCAGGTACTGCCTCGCTCGTCCCTGCCTCGTACGCTATTGGCAAAGGTGGAGATGCACCCATCACTACTCAATTACTTAGCTAGCTAATAGTGTTGTTACATATCTCAATGTTGTTATTAGTATTAATATTGTAGTGTCCTACTATGTATGTATTATAAAATCTTCATGATTAGGAAGTTCAGCATAAGATAAGGTTGTGTATGAGTTTATGAAAAATTTTAATTGAAAGAGCTAAAACTTGTGAGTTGAAAACGATTAGTCTTTGGCAATATCTTTAGTGTAAAAGAAAGAAACAAAAAAGAAGAAGATAATTTTGTGTATTATTATTTTTTAATTTAAATTAGTTTTGTGTGAGAAAATGTTACATAATCATTAACATGTGTTTACTAAAATATTCAATTATTAAGATAATTAATTTACTGGTCATTGTCGTATTTGGGTGTTCAATAATTATGATGTAAAGAGGAAGCAGATGAGATTATAGAAATAAATCAGGAAAGCCAAGATTCACAATCTGAATCAGCTGCGACGGCGCCGTTTTGTGGTGTGTAGGGACAGCTTGGCATGAAATCTGGAGGAAGACTTTGTTTGTGGAACGACATGCATGGAATCTCGTGAATCTTGTCTCTATCTAAAAAGTGGAATCTAATATCTTAAGATGAGATTAAAAAAATGATTACCAAGTGAAATTATTTCTATATGGAATGAACTGGAGTATTTTATTTCAAATTCCAATTAATTAAATAAATTAAGAGTAAATGGGAAAAAAGTTTCATATGTTAACAAATTTGAATATTTATTCGTATCTACTTCATGCACAAAAGCAAGGTGATCAGAAAAACAAAAAGGGGAAAAAAAGAAGCTAAAATCAAATTAATGGAGTGATGATCGAAAGCCGTGTTTGATATGCATTTGCTCGTGATCCGTCACGAATTAATGGAGTGTAACGTAATAGCAAGTTGTTCTCAATATCTCTTTCATTTTTTTATAAAAAATAATTATCAATATCTTTATAATTTTATTATCTCTATATTTATAATTAAACTTAAATAATTAACGAGAGTAATTTTTTTTTAAAAATATTTATTACAAATTTATATCATTAATGTAATCAATGTCTTTTTAAATAAAAGCTTATTACTTTGAATGTCTAAAGTCCGTTATAAGAAGAGAGATTGATAAAATTATTTTTAATTCTATTTATAAGAAATAAATTTATATTTTTAATTATTGAAAATTTATATTGATGAAATACATTATTATTAATCATATAAATAAATATATTTATTCATTTAATATATATACACATATAATTAAATTATGTAATATTATAGATTTTTTAAAATATACTATAAATAATAATTGTTTATTAATTTTGATAAATTCATTAAATTTTTCTTATAAAAAAATTGAAAGGGATATCATCTAATATAATTATATTCTAGCTTTTATTTAAGATACTTTTAACTAAATTATGTATATCCATAAAAATAGTTGAAGTAAATTGATTTTTTGGAAAAGATTTTAACTTATTAGTTTTATTTTTTTAATATTATTAAATTTAATGTCATTACTACATTCATCCATATTAATTTAAAAGTTTAAATGATATTTTAGTTATTATATTTAATTTAAATTTGTAAGTTAATTCTTACATATAAAAAATTTGTAAATTAATCTATATATATATATATATATATATATATTCTCGATTTAATCCCTTCCATTAAATTAAAAGTAAAAGACTTTAAATAAGAAAATGTCTAAATTAAAATAAATGTACTAATTTTTTATGTATAAAAACTAACAATCAAATATAAAAATGAATAAATAAATCCATGACATTATTTTCTTTTGCTAGCTCCTAATCTACCTTTCAGTTTCTCCAATCTTAGTGGAAGCAAGAATCTCTTCCTCTCTTAACCTCTTATTCCCTAAACTCAACTAACTCTTAACAACATTCATCAAATTTTCTTCTTTTTCAACTACTTCACCACTCTCACTCTCATCCATACTCTCTCCTTTTCTTTTACCTCCAATTTCACTCTATTCATTCTTCTTCTTCACTTGTGTAAACTATACTGAATGTCACGTGTCTTTATCTTTTAGTTTCTCATATCCAAAATTCAATCAACTCTTAACAATCTTCACTAAATTTCCTTTTCTTCCCAACCACTTCACTACCTTCATCCTCACCGCTATCCACACTCACCTACCCCAAACCTCAATCCCTCATCAAAACCCTTTTTCGTTCTTGAATGTGCCCTCATTAGCGTTGCTAGCAGCAGAATCACTGACGCATCCATCTACGTCTTTCTCCATTCCTTTAATACCATCAAAATCAAGATATGCTAGAGATGTCTCACAAATTTATAAAAATATTATTGACTCAGATTTATAAATTAGTCTCTATATATAAAAAAAATTAGAAATTAATTTTTAGATGTATATTTATTTCAATTTAGTCCCTTACTTATTTAACATCATTTATTTTAAACTTAATAGAGACTAAATCAAGAAAAAAATGTACATGTAAAAATTGATTTACAAAATTTTTACATGTAAAGATTAACTTACAAATTTAAGTCAAGTATAAGAAATAAAATATCATTTAAATTTAATTTAAATTTTTATTTTCATCAATTATACTTATTAAGAATGAGTATTAAAAAAAATAAAAATGCTATTTAAATATTATAAAATGTCTCATAACAAGAACTATCAAAACATTTTTTTTATGATTCTTTATTAACAAAAAACCGAAATAATGTGACTTATCTAGTATAATTCATTATTCAATTTATTTAATTTAATCTAATATTAAAAAATATTTTATGCCATTAATCATTAGGACAATTTTATTTTCTTCAAAAGCGTGAATTTATTTTTATAAGTCACAATTCATCTTATTATATATTTAGTCTACAATTAACACCTTTATATATATATATATATTAAAGAAATGAGTGCATATCAAAGTAGTATTAACATTGGATAAATTCACCGTGTATTCACTTTTGTAGTTAGAACGAAGAGTGATTTATTAATGTCATGAGCATGCATACGCCAATTTGTTATTACCATGGATGCTAATATACATAGTTGTTTGTCATGATACCCATAAATTTGAGAAGTAATTGTATATATTCACTGGATTGATAGTTGTGATCGCTCTAATATTTTAGAGATTAAAAAATATTTATATTTTTTTAAATTACTAATTTCACTATTAATTAATATAAAATTTATGATAATAATTATTTTATGTATAAAAAAGTATAAAATATTCTCTTTATTTATATAAGGCACTTTAGAAACTACCATATATATAATAATATAATGTAAGTTCTCTAAATTTTTAATTGAAAATTTATGATGATGACTATGTCACCATAAAAGCCACATGGTCATTTGTCTATTTGAGTTTGAAGTTGTAACTTGTTAAATATATCTAACATTTAAGACATCTTTAAATATCTAAAAAAATATTTTGACATATATTTATATAAGATATTTATTTTATTTTATTTAAAAATCATCAATTTATTAATATTTTTTTTAAATTTTAGGATGTATAAAAAATTATAATTAATATACTTATGATATTGGTTAAATTTATTCACTTTTTTTTTTACAAATAAAAAATTAAAAAAAAAAAGGAGAATGTGGAATAAAATGAATAATATAATGTAGACAATAAAGGTAAAAAATTTGTCTACATTTATTTTTGCCTAATCTCAAATTACGCTTTTTTTTTTAAGTCGAAACTGTTATTGATTTGTTCAAAAATATAAAATGCAAAAAACAAAGACTTGTGTGGCTACTGGGATTCGAGCCCAGGTCTCCACGGCCACAACGTGGAATTCTTACCACTAAACTACAGCCACATGCTTTAATTCTAAACAAATATTATAATTTATTAAGAAAAAAATTTTCTTTTCAGCTCGTAATTACAAAAGTCCGAAAACGAATATGCTTGCCATAGGTCATTTGAAATTTTAAACTGAACTTTTCGAATTATCAGCCATAAGTCCAAAACTAATTCTTGGGCATGCGCTTTGAAGAGCGTGACTTCAAGTTCAAAGTGCATTTTTTATTTGGTAGAGTTATTGTGATTGTCTTAAATTTAAGTATAAGGAATCTTAATTTTGAAACACTGTATATTTAAATTATATATTTTTTTATTTTTAATGTTTTAAAAAATAAAATATTGATATAAATTTGTTAGGTAAAACCTTAATAGTGAAGTGGAGAAAAGAGATTAGAGATGACTTGACAAATTATGATTCACATTATTATTTAATTAACAAAAATTAACGTCAAGTACAAAATTGAAAAAAAATTTAATATGTAATAATTTAAAATAAATCCTATTTAGAAGTAATTAAAATATATTTAAGCCTTAATGATATATAAAATATAATAATGTTTACTATTTTAATATCATAAACAGATCACTTTTCAAAAATATTATTAATTTTTTAATGTTGTCTAAATGCTCATAAATTTTAAAAATAAAAAAATTTATAAATTATAAAAACAAAAGGTTATTTAGTTCTTAACTCCGCTTACACTGTGTTGTTGAAAGTTAAGCACTAAAGAATTCATGTTCATAATATTGTTCAAAACATACAACACATTTCAATGGAAAATAACATGTATATTTTTTTGTGATAAGGAAAAAAAGTGATGAGATAAGGATTAAGTATTGTGCTTGCAAAGTAAAACAAAGTAATTGATCAAATTTCATTGATCAAATTTAATCCCATGACTGAGGTTGTGCAGCTATGGATAGAACGCAAGGTTTAGACCAAAGCACCTGCTAGTGTCCTGAACAAAGCTTCGTGAATTGCCCTCACATGTGGAACATTACATAGATAAAATAGGAAACTACGGAAAAAGGATAAAATTGTGAGCCCCACAATTTATACTTTCTTCCTACATTCAGACAAAACCCCCAAAAGATGCAATATTTTTTAATTAATTTTTTTTTTCATTTTCAACCAAACCAAACAAAATGTTATGGTCTCCGATCATAGAGTAACTCCAACTGTAAAATATTAGATATGCATAACCTACCATTGAGGTCTTTTAATTAAATAACCAAAATTACATTGATCAATATACATAGATTAGTTCTCATCACCAGAACCAGGATTCTTCATTGTTCACATAAATCAATCAGAATCCCGGGGCTGGGAGCGGGCTTGGAACCCAAAAATACAATTGGGGAAAGGAATACAACTATACAAGAGCGTAAAAAATAATACAAAACTAAATGAGGATGATGCAAACTGGAAGATACATCACTCCTGCCATTTTAGATGATAGCACTCAAGCTTTCATTTCATATGATACTAATGAACAAAACCGATGAAAAAGGGCACTGGCTTGCCTCTGCCTGCACAATAGTCTCCCGAATCTTGCTAAACGAAATAGATGGGGTCAGAGCCAAACCCTATAACACTGCCACATTTCTGTCTTTAATGTAAATAACCCCCTGCCACAATTCTGTTTCTTAGTGTAAATAAGCCGAAGAGCTTTGGCAATGAGAAAAGTTTTGGTCCCTGCATAAATGCTAGGATAGCAATGGACAGATATAACTTCTTGTTCTACCGGTTTAAGATTTATGTATCACTTGAAATGGTCTTGCCGGATAACTGTAATTAAATTGAAGGGTGATCCATCTTCCTCCTTCTGTTTCCAAGGTTCGCCATTGCCTTGAATATACCATGATACTTTTGGAGATAAAGGACTGTATAAATCTGCATGTGGAGAATAATTAGGTAACTTCTCCCAGTTATTTCAGAAGGGAGAAAATATGCACTTCTGAAAAGCCTATTAGCCTCCAACTTAAACATAGCTAGAAAATTGCAAAACAAATTTCAATGTCACTGTCAAAACATATCTAAGTTATTTTAAGCAATCCTAGTGGATCTCAAATGTTGACTATTGGCCCTCTACCCAAACATTATGTTTTAGTTTTCTTCTTTGAATGTACCTTTATTTTCTAAAAGAACCTATTTGCCATTGGATGAGTGTATATCATTTATGCAAACGACAATTTGAATCTTAAGGTTCTTTTTTTAGGGATAAAGTTAATTGTCTTTATTCAAGTTTAGAAAGTGAATCATAGAATGAAAAGAAGCCATCAAATGGAAAGTAAGAGATATAGGTGTTTATAAAAGTATTCAACTCTAGACAGCAGAACTACTGTATACTTTTTGCCAGAAACTAGAAAGCTTAGTTCACTCTATGGTCATCAAGTAATTTCAAACTTGAGCATCTTAAGAAGGGAAAAAACAAATATTGATACTATTATTATTTATTAGGACTAGAATACACTTATCAGAGAAAATTTATGAATGACAACCTTTGCAAATTAAATAACAATTTAAAGAAGAATCCATATGCACCAAAGTAGTCAAGGAAGGAAAATCCATTAAGCAGTACTCAAGAAAGAAAAGATTTATTCAAGTATAATATGAAGACTTTATTATTTTCTTTTTTAAAAAACTATTAATTAAAATATAAATTTTTTTAAACAACTTCCCTATTTGGAGTATTTTTTTGCCACATCATCACTAATCTTGCCACTATAGATCGCAAGACATATTTAAAAAAAAAAAAAAACAATACCACCATCGTAGTGGCAAAATTTACAAATTTTGACATGTATCAAGATTCCTAAGTCTCGCCATTGCAGGTGGCGAGATTGCTTTTGTGTGAAATGATGGTTGAGAGGAGATAAGCATGTGCAGCGAGTGATGAATGCTTCCTCCTTCATTGTATACTGACGTTTTCCTTCCTCTCTATTATCCAATAAATTAATCATCCATACATACTTTTTTATTAAACAATAAATATACATGTTTACTATAATATTAATTATATTATGTAAATAAATATGTTTATGCAAAAATTTATTTATTTTAAATTTTTAAAATTAAAAGTTAAATAAAAACTATGAGTATCACCAGCCACAAAGACAATATTCTGAGATCTTTGGGGCAAAACTATACATGCTTCACCTGCCGCCCAGTCGTCATTTCACACAAGTAATCTTGCCACTACTTAGGGATCTTGACAAAATCTGTAAGTTTTGCTAGTTACAATGGTTATACTGTTATTTTTTAAATAAAAGAAATAAGTCTCTCCATCTGTGGTGGCAAAACTAGTGATGATATCACCAAAAAAACTCTAAACAAGGAAATTGTTTTAAAAAATTTATATTTTAATAATAGTTTTTTAAAAAATAATAAAAAAAGCCTAATATGAAGTATGAACTAATAATCTACTTTCTTTGGTACAATTGCAATGACAAATATTCAGCATACAAGAAAAAATACATTCCATAAAAAGCAAAATCTATCCAGAAAAATGAAGAAACTAATCATTGGCCAGAAATGGGAAAAAAATGTTATGAAAAGCAACATAGAAAACAATGATCCTATTTCCCCATTTTTTTATCATTCAGCACATATAATTATAGCTATTACTATTGAACCCTTAACTCCTCATTACTAGCTAAGAACCGTTAAGGTTCTACTACTGTATCCAAGTAATTGGTGCTTAAATGCTACAGTATATTTCCACACTTCTACTACCCCACCTATACAAGGTAATTCCCTAGTTTAAAATATTACTCTAATAAGCAAATTAATTTGCAGAGATTGGGCATGTTCTTTCATGATGGAACAGTTTGTGATGATTTTAAAGGTTTTGACTTTTGACAGGAATAGGGAGGCTATAATGTTATGCCAGCGTTATCTTAATGATTTCCATATTGAATGTTGTGGGAGTAGATAAGCAACCCCACGTAGTGAGATAAAACTTGGTTAATGTTTTTATTTCTTGTTAAGATGTTTAACATTGACAAGGGATATGGCCAAAGTTCCCTAATAAGACTTCAACAATATTTATTTCTCTTGAGATAACTTTTGAATTGAGTTAGACTTAGTCCATTTCTAATATGGAGCAAACACCTGCATTTGTTGGTCAGGAGGAATCTTTTAGCATGGTTGGTCATCTTCACAAGTCCCTATGTGACCTTAAACAATCTCCTTGAACTTGGTCGGGCCATTTTAGCTATGCAGTTCAATAGTTCAACAAGATACAAAGCAAAGCAAGGTAGCATACCATTGCATCTTCTATTGCCATTTTATTTGGCTATGTATATTGACATCATTGTTATCATTGATGGTGATCACCATGATTTTGACACACTTCGATACTTCTAGAGAATAGAATGACACAACCCAAAGATAGTATTGTGATCTCACAAAGGAAGTATGACATTGATATCCTTGATGATAGCAATCTATTGAATTCAAAACTGGTGGACACTCCTAGAGACCCAAATGCTAAACTACTTGGGGGAACCCTATTCTGATCCAGCTAGAAATAGAAGGTTGGTTGGGAAACTAAAGGATCTCATATTCATCCAAACATCTCATTTGCAGTCTATTTTCAATATAATATCAAAGTCCATTTAGTCTTGATGTTGAGCCACTCAGCACCCCCAAATGCTTAATGCTAAATATAAGGAGGTGTGTTAAGATGCCCTGCATTAGTTAGAAATATATCCAAACATCTCTTATAAGACAAGAATAATTCTCCTCCTTCAAGCTAGCTTTTTGGTTTGAATTAGACTAATCTATTTCAAATATTTATTTTCCCTTCATTTTCAGATTGTTTTTGGTTCATTTTGGTCCTCTTCTAAATGTAGTTTCTTTCGAGGAAATTTTCTATCATTGATGCAAAAAATTTTGTTCTCAAATGGGTTGGGGAATCAACACAAGTTTTCATCAATTGCCAGCATCTAGGTAACCTATTGTTGCATGTGGCATTGGAGCAGAATCACCAAGATAGCTCATTTGATCATGGGGGGACCAACAGGGTTCTTCGCATTTTAGATCCATGAACTCACAAGTACGGCTGTGTGACTAGGAAGGGGGAAAAAACAACTATTGTCGGTCTTTTTCCACCTAATCTCTCTTCTCTTCCAACTGTACTTGTGGCATTCTTCAACCTCCTTTGTTCAAACTCATTTGAATGCTCACAATCTATTCTTTGAGTTCTCTATTCTTGCTCAGAACTCATTTTGACTCAATTTGGAGGAGTTTCTGTTTAGACTTTAGTGAGCTCTCCACATCTACAACCTCAATGTTTCCCTGTTAGTGTTCCTCAATAGGTTTGTTCTTCATTTCACCCCGTCTCTTCTACTAGACTTGCTCATATTTTATTTGGGTCACTGCTTAATGGTCAAAATCATGAAATGAATTCTCTTCTCCAAAGGTTTGTTTTAGGTTGCAGTTTTTTGTTCCGTTCTATTTTTCTCTTCCCTTTTAGCATGTGGTGGTAATATTGTTCTCCTTTTTCCCCAGCTTTCTCTCTCATTTTTTTATTTTCTCCACTCTTCAATTTTTGTTTTAGTATTACTTAAATGTTAAGAATATATATATATATATACAGCAAGAACTTACAATGTCTGTTGCATTTTCAGAATTTAAGCTTTCTCCTCCCTTTCCAATCCTAAATAACATCTTGATTTTGGCACCCTTGCTTGTTACTTCAATAATTTGTATATATATATCATCTATTTCATGGCATGGCTGCTCATATATGTCAGAATTAAGTAAGGAGTCAAGAAGAAAACATGAGCAATTTTCTCACATTATCTAAAATTTGTAGTATAGCCTTTGGGGTTAAAAAAAAACTATATTGCAGGTCAAGCTACCTAATACTGATAAATAAGTCTTTGACTGCACCCAATACAAAGGCACATATGATGAGGACCTTACATCAACAAAGGACTCCTTACCTGTACTGACTGGAGGATCTGGCTCTCTTGTACAGTGTAATACAGTTGTTCCAGATAAAACAGTTATGAAACCACATAGCTCTGATGCAATGCTGGTTACACTTTGACCAGAATAGTCCTGTATAAGAAAAGTAGAGGAGGCAGGGTTAAAACATATAGTTGAAGCGCTTGATCATTAAGATGTCTCTGTAGATGCATTAGTGATTTGTCATTTTGTTAAGTAAAAAACCAACCTTAAACATGATTGCGCTAGCTAATATTGTAAAAGATGTAAACAAGGCATAATAGATTGGAGAAACAACTGCTGTGTTAAATGTATCCAATGCCTGCAATCATGCAAGAACTGGTCAGCATACAAGCCCATTTTGAAGACCAACTAACCAGCAAATGATGACAACAGAAAGTCATGGAAATAACAATCATGTAAATCAAAATTCAGGAATCAGAACTTGAAGATTATCAATTCTGGTGGCCCAGGCAATGCGTTACATGGAATCATGGATGTTATTTGCACCTTGAACTTCTAGATTAGCTCATAAAAGCCTACAAAAATGTTTCTTTAATTGATATAATGGTATGCAAGTACTTTAGATGAAAACTTCAACACAGGCAAGTTGATAGTAGGCAGTGAATGAAGAAACAGTTATTACCTTTGCAAACTAAAATGCCTCCTTGTACTAAATACAAGCAAAATGTTGTACATAATAGAAAGGCAACACAGAAGAGCTACATTATTTCTTATAAAGGGAAGATAAACACAGGCTCTAACTTTTTTACTTAAAATACCAAACATTGTGTTCACATAAAAAGTTGAGAGTGATACAGACCATATTAAGGTAATTTAATTGAGTAACGATGCAGGAAATAGCAACCATCATAAAAATCCATGTCTGAAAATGAACAAACTGATCTGCACCCTCCAACGTAAGTTTTAAAGCAATGCCAATAGCTTTCACGCTCATGACCTGAGAAACAAAACATTCTATAAAAGGTGCAAAACAAAAGGTGACCTCTGGTATTGAGTTTTGTCAACTGTCACACATACAATGTAGAAGGAAAAATGAATAGGAAGAATCACTTACAGTCAAGGAACCAATTATGGAGCATATTCCAATATAAACTAAAATATTAGTTTGGCCATAGCGAGGCGCACAATACAAAATCAAAAAGATTGCTACAGCCATCACCGAGGCAGTGTACAACAGGAATGCTGAATGCCAAAACAGAAAGCAGTAATATCAGGCAAACATAAAATAAAATAAAGCACAATATCGTGATCCAGTAAGCTACAGCTACAGTCACGAGCTTCATCGCAAAAACACAACAAAACCTCGCCAAGCAACAGCATACCTGGCTGAATAGCCAATTGCCATATTTCTTGAACAGAACCAATAGACTTTTCTTGAGGTGCATGGAGCACAATCACAGTTGATCCCACAATGCACAAAAGACACCCGAGCACGCCCATTTTCTGCAGCTTCTCATTCAACATGAAATGCGCCAAGACGGCACTACCCATTTCCAAAATGTCACAAAACAGTATATTAAATTACAACAACAAAACCCTCAATTTAAAAAAAAAAATAGAAAAATTGGCTGTGGTCTTACCTAACAATAATACTCAAAGCACCAAGCGGTGTGACAAGCACCGCGGGAGCATAGACGTAAGCCACAAAATTCGCTATTTCTCCAACAATCACTGTAAGAAAAACGAGGCAAGAAAATCAGAACTGAAAAAAAAAAGTGAAAAAAAAAAGCACAGTTAGGTACTGACTGGTAACCATTCCGAGCCACCAAAGAGGTTGTAGCAGATAGCCATAGCCGCCACCACCTGCAATGAAGAATTAGGAAGAAGAAAACAGCATAGAGAATGAGAATGAGAGAGGAAGAAGGAATAACTAGCTGGAGTTCCGTTGACGCTAGCACGTTGAAGACCCTTTTTCTTGATGATAAAGCTTGAGCCGATGAAAGCGCTTGATACTACAGCTAAGAGGAACCCAGTCAAATTGCTCGAGTACATCTATGTTATCTACGTTGTTGTGTGTTGTTGGATTTAGAATTTTGGAGGCAACTCAGAACATGCAACAACTTAATGGAACCCTAGATTACAGTTTGGATTAGATGAAGAACAGGAATGAACCAATCAAGTTGAAAGTCACTCAAGCCAACGCGACGCTATAATTTGGAAGCAATTGAACTGTGGCGTGGCGCTCTTTGTATTTTACTGTGCGCTTCGAATTGGTGAGTGGTTGGTTTTTTGGTCTCATTGGAGAGATAGTGAGAGCGTGTCTGAACATGTGAATTCAGACGTGTCTTACTCTCCATCCGCTTTTCTTTTTCTAAGCTAACATTTTTATTTTTTCGTTTAGTTGTGAGCATGACAAACAATATTACCCTTTTTGATTGAATAAGAAGCATTTCAGTTTGGAATGCGTCAGCAGAATATATTTATATTTTGTGAAATTATTTAAATCAACTTAAATTAAAATATTTACCTGTGTCACAGAGAATGAAAAAATGCAAGTAAATATAAAGAGTTGAAATGATGGAGGCCACCAAATATGTTAATATAATGGAGATTATGTTTGTTTATAAAAAGGTCACGTTGAAAATTAATTTTATTCGTAATATTTTTTAAAATTACAGTGTAATTCTATTTGGAGTATTATACAAATAAATTATGGATCATGCATGTCAGGGGAGAAATAAGATGTGTTATGTGATGGGGTGGAGAAAAATAAAAAGAATTAGATTATGTTTATTACTATTTTCTGTTTATTAAAAATAAATTTTAATACAATTTTGTACTGTAATTTATTTTAAAAATAAAAAATATTTTTAAATTAGTAATCAAACATGTTCTTAACATCGAGTTTGTCTAGTCATAAAAGAAGTGATAAACAAGTCATGCATGTCAAGGTGAAATGAGATGGAGAAAAATAAAAAAAATAAGAAATGCATTGAGGGAAAGAAGAAACAAGTTGTGCAAAGTATGTAAAACGAAAATGTAGTGTTAGTATTAAGATGTTTTTAACTGTATTGAGAATCCTTTGTCAAGATCAACAAAAATTAAGATATCCATGTGTTTAAGTTATGAAATGTGGATAATTAATTTAAATATGTAGTTTTAAGTTTAGAAAGTATAAAGATATAGGTTTTTTGAACTACTTATACATACATGGCTTAAAAAAAAAATACTAATAGTAATTCTTACCTATCCAAACTTGGAACAAAGCAAATTAAATTCTATCAATACTAATTCATGTCATTGTGAGCCTTTAGACAAAATATTAAAAGTATTTTTCAGTTGCAAAGATTATCTTCTAAGTTTCTACGATAATATCTATTAATATTAAGCAAATTCAATGATAATAGCTTTTGAAAAATTAGTAATGACAAGTTTTGTGATTATAAATTTAAATTAAAAAAGGATAGAAAAGGAATTTGAATCCCCTCTATTTTTTATAGAAACTATACTTGAAATTTTTTGTTTAAAACATTCATTTAAGTAAATTGCATTAAATTACTCACTTTATCGAGATGTTTAAAGTCAATTTAGAACCTTTATGGCAAAGTTTATTTTTATGGTTAAAGAGACTTGTCTCTTGATTGTAGTACAATGACACAATAATGGGTGCAAATATTGCTATTGGAATCGTTCACTTGTGTCTTTGTTGTTGTCCAAAATTATAAACAAACATTTTTTTTTTCATCTGGTTTAATCCGGATCCGACCTAGTTTCGCACCTGAATGTGGTGGATAAGTCTATTTATTGAAATTTTTTTACATATACAAAAATTCAAACTTGATACTTTACTTAAGTGATACCGAGCTGCTTGCCAGTCAAACCAACCTCCATTGATAAAACAAATACTTTCTTGAGAACCTATTAAAACTTAATTTGCATTTAGGTGCAAGTGTGCATATTTCTTGTACATTTTAAGTTATCTTTTTGCGATTAAGCGAATATCTAAGGAGAAAAAAAAACACCTCAAGAAAATAAAAATCATAGAAAGAGAGTAAAACTAGAAAACTTTTTAATTATTGTTTCTGAGGTAAAGAACTACAAACTCTGTAAGTTTTAGTTATGACCTTTCTTATGTTACATTCTCATTACACACCGTGGAAAGGTTATGCCCAATCTTTGGCAACATTGTCTCCTTGTGTGAGAGGTGTGGACAAAACCAAGGAACAAGGCGAAAAGAATTAAAAGGTAACGATAAGGACAAATTGGCAAACTTTTTGTACAAAAAACTCAACATCTCTATATCAGAGCATCTTCAGGAAGGAGATGGGAGTGGTTAGAGCAATTCACTTAAACGAAAGTTCTAAGCAAAATTTTTCGTTTAAGAGTAAAAATAAAACTAAACATTCAATTCCTACACAGATTAGAAAGGATCCGAATCAAAAAGTTGTGCAAGAAAAGGATAAAACATTAAAAAAATCATTTATGAGAGAAGCAAGTGTGTTTAATTTAAAAAAAAATTATAATTCTAGAGTGTTACAAAATAATTTTCAGCTCTTATAAGTAGTCTTATTTAGTTTAATCTCTCCCAAGACATCACTTGCGCCAAATGCTACAATTTTTTATTTTTTTAATGGATCTATGCAAATCTAAGTATCATGATTCGTGAGAAATCCACCGTCATTTATCATGCCACGAATTTAGCAGAAAATCAACCGCTTGATGGAGAAGTAATGGAGGGTGTGCACCTTGCTTATGCTTCTTCTTGTGAAGTCAACTCTCAATGCAAAATTTATGGCCACATTGATTGTATCTCTGGATGTAGAAATAAACACGGAAGGAAAAAAGCAAGAAGAAAAGAAATAAGCGATAAGAGAAAAAATAATTAAAAAATAGGAGAATTTTTAAATTGTTTGGATAAAAAAGTAAAATATTAATATCAGGGTTGGCTTCAATATCTTAAAAGAATAATTTTTTATTAGAGATGTAAGTATTTATTATACTTTAATAAAAAATTACTAATTTTAGATATTTAAAATTAATACTAAATGCTAATACTAACAAAACTTTCAAAAAAATAATCACAAAGTTGGAATTTGCGTAAAGATATTTAATCTATTTTATAATTATAAAGTGTAAATGTGTTACGTATAATAAATTTATTCATAAGACTCAGTTATCCTTTTAAAAGTTTAAATTACTTTTTTTATTTAATTCATTACTTATTTTATATTAAATTCTTTTAATAGAATATTTAATTTAATTATAAATAGGTCTAGACTATTTTTTTAATTTAATCAAATATAAATATTATTAATATATTATATTTTTTTACATAAAAATTATATACACATACACAACAAGCTTAAAGAGGCTAGCCTATTAATCTAATATATTATAAGTTTAAGTCTAAGATATTTAATTAATTAAATTTTTAAAAGTTTAAATAAATATTTTTAACAAATTAGGTAGTTTTTTCTTGTAATGCACAAGTTTTTTATTATTTAAAGAAATATAATTTAATAATTAAGTCTATTATATTTTTTAAATAATTATAAAATTATTTGAAACTTTTAACTTCTAAAAATTATGTCAGCTTAACTTTATGATCACAAATGCTATTAAAATAATAAATATTTAATAAAATTAACTTTAAAACACTTTTAAAGGGATAAAAATAACTAAAGTAAAAGCATTGACCAAACGGAAAAAAGTGGATAGTTTGTACACAAAACGGACCTAAACAAGGGGTGGAGGTCCCGCGCTACTGTACAGCGAGTTGGAAGCTAACACCTAAGGAGAAGGAAGTAGGAGAAGGCACGAAAGAAAGTATATTTGAAGGCCTAGTCTAGTCTACACCTGGCCCGTTCCAGCAAATGGTTGGACCGAACAGATAATAGTCAACCCCGTTCAATCCCTTTTGGCTAGCCATAAGACATGATTTAATAATTAAATATGCATGATTAGGAGTACCTGATTGGCGCCCAATAGAAAATGAATGTGAGGGTAGACTTGTTCTCGCGCAAATGTTCATTTTCAAAGCTCTTATTTTGTCTCAACCCCACAAGTGACAAGTCACTTCCCTCTCTCCCCTGTCTCTTCCCTTTTGGAATTCGTTTCCCAAAACCTTACTACTACTACTTATAGTACCGCATTTTCTTTTTACCTTTTCTTCTTCACTTACTATTATTATTCACTACAGCCACCAACTAATACTAATGACCAAGAATCAATGAGTGCTAACTCTTCATGGCAGCACCTTCAAATTCAAAGATTGAGTTCTTGGTGTGGCTGTCGCAAGTCATGGGAGGCCTCTGTTCGAGGTCCACAGAGGATGATCCCGTGTTCATCACCGCCGATGCTCCTCCCGATAATAAGGTCGCCGTTTTCACCACCGCGCCTCAGAGAATGGAGAGGACTCTTCCAGAACCTTCTCGAACCATTACGGATGAAGATTTCTACGACGGAATTCCGCGCTTCGCCGATGATTCTTTGCCTCACAAGTCTAGGTCTAAGGTTAAACTATTTCTCTATTGTAAATATACGCAACTCCAAGATGATGTATTCTGTGTGTCTCAACGTCACGTTCTCCAAGACTGTGCCGTTGTTGATAGTTTTTTTTTCTGCGATTTTTTCGCACGCGTTGTGGTGTTAGTTCATAGGGAAAGGCAAGGCAAATTCGTCCACCGCAATCTCTTTGAACTAAAGGTGACAGAAGATGCGATATGAGTGGATAATGTTAGTGACTCTTGTGGTAACTTATGATCTGTGTATATGAATTGGAAATGAGGTTTGAGTTGGGATTTAGGGTTTATTTATTCGTAATTAGGGATCGTAGAAGTGTGTTGTTTATCTTGTTTGTTGCTGTATTCGTTATCTCAGTTATTGTATACTTGAGGCCTAGGATTAGGTTGTTGTTCTAGTACGTATTTTATATTATTCAAGGGCTTTGGATGCCAATAGGGACATGCTTTGTTTTAGATATATGACAAATCGTAGGATGCTAGCTAATACTAGCTTAAGTTTTTGGGAGAGTTGGTACTTAAGGTGTAAATCAAAGCTTTTATGACCAAGTTGTTAGGAGCTATTCTGCATGATTGGGATGGATTGTAGCACAAGGTGAAACAGGCGTGTTCGTTGTCCATGCATCAAGCCCAAAGGCTTTTGTGTGAGGGGGCATGTATAAAATCATTCATTTGGTTGTACTTATATAGATAATGTAGGAGAAAAATGGAAATATCTACTAATATCTTTCTGTTTCAGGTCTCAGAGGTGAGTTCACGCCTGGGCAGAGCTGGTACTATTGGACTTGGGAAGGCAGTAGAGGTTCTGGACACTCTTGGGAGTAGCATGACAAATTTAAATGCTGGCAGTGGCTTTGTTTCTGGAGCTGCAATAAAGGGGAATGAAATTTCTATCTTAGCATTTGAGGTTGCAAACACAATTGTCAAAGGTTATAATCTTCTGCAATCTCTTTCCACTAAAAGTATCAGGCATTTAAAAGAAGAGGTGCTTCTTTCAGAGGCTGTGCAAGATTTAGTATCAAAGGATATAGATGAACTTCTTAGGATTGTTGCTGCGGACAAGAGGTAAGCATTGGATTAAATGACATTTCTAAGAATGATTTCTGTATCGTGAATAAAGCTAACTTTTTATTGTTTTGCATTGTCATGACCCTATAAAATTAAAAAGTCAATTATATATGATTTTGGGCTATGTTGTCAGGCAGGAGTTGAAAGTTTTTTCTGATGAGGTGATTCGTTTTGGAAATCGTTCAAAGGATCCTCAGTGGCACAACTTAGACCGTTACTTTGAGAAGTAATATAAATTGTACTTACAGAAGTCGTCCATCCATTCATTCATCTTCAAAAAAATATTTAGCCTTTTATTTATGCTGAGCTGTATTTTCATTGTAAATTTTAGGATTAACAAAGAACTAAATGCGCAAAGACTGTCAAGAGATGAGGCAGAATCAATAATGCAACAATGGATGACTTTGGTTCAGTTTACAGCTGTAAGTGATTTCCTAGTGTCATTAAAGAAAGTGCTTAGAGTTGTTTGAGGACTGAGAGTTACTTTTGAAGCTGAGAATATAAAGAAATTAAAAGGTATACTTTTAATTTTGTGTGGCTGCAGGAATTGTACCATGAATTACATGCTTTGGATAGATTTGAACAAGATATTCAGCGTAAGTGTGAAGAGGAGGATCAAAGAGGTAATTATGGAATATTTACCCATGAACCATGGCATACATAATATGCTACTTTTGTTTGTAGCTAGCAAATTTGAACCTTAAATGCAAAGCTCTTGTAGAGTTTTAATCTAAAGTGAATGTTAACTTTGGTATTTTATTTTATTTTAAACAGAATGATCATTTAGATGGTGATAAATTTGTGGAAACAGGCCAAGGTCCACATTGATCATTTAATTGGTTCTGAGAAGTTGAAAAAGATATATGATAGCATTAAATACTATCTCATCAAAGACTCTAACATGGATATAGGAACTAGAATACTGGATATCAATCTTCTACTTCAGCTGTATCCCTTTTTTATTCTACTCTGTTCTGAATGCCTTCTCCATTTGCCGTTGGGTCTCATTGAAAATCAGCCCTACTAAAGTGTAATACTAATGCTGTACACTGTACAGTCAGATGGCAGTTGCCAAAGTATCTAGTTTGGTTTTTCTGATATTTGTTTTAATTTCTTTGGAACCAGAATTAAATATTATTGTTGACAATGTAATTCTGAAGGCTTAAATGATCGTTTACTGTATTACATACTTTTGAAATTAAAGTCACTCTAACCCAGAAGTTTGACCTTGCAGTATATTGAGCAGTATTTGTTTATAGTTTCTTGTAGATATACTTTTGACTTTCAGTATCTCTCTCTAACATGTAGGCGATAACCTTGCATTCTTGAGGGCGGAAATTAAAAGTCAAAAGAAGCAAATTAAGCATTTAAAGAAAAAATCCCTCTGGTCTAGAAGTTTGGAGGAGGTAACTTCAGATTGCTTTTCTGCATGATGTGTTTATCTTTTTGCTCGGTATCCTCATCCTTGTTTGTTTTATGATATCCTCTCTTAACCCGTCGTTGTATCGGATCTACATATAATGCCGAAGATAGTGTTGAGGAATAATTTTTATTTATTAGTTGTTCATCTTGTGAATATCATTGACGGAGAACAGCGAAAAGTTGTGTGTAATTCAAAATCTAACGGTTTTCAGGTTATGGAGAAGCTTGTAGACATTGTCCATTTTTTGCATTCAGAGATAAGCAATGCCTTTGGCAGTGCAGGTATGTGCCCATTAATGGCCATTAGATCACTGATTTTATCCTCATGATCTCATCAAAATACTGTTGAAGTGAATATGTATTCTACATACATGTAATGTTGTCATCCATGGGCACCTGCAGATAGCCACAAACCATTAATTGGACTCAAGAGCAATCGCCAAAGATTGGGCCCTGCAGGACTTGCTTTGCATTATGCAAACATGGTGCTTCAAATTGATACTCTTGTGAGTTAGATCTTATTCATTGTATTTACTTCATTTCATTTCTTTTTGTTTTTTTTTGTGCCTTGCCTTGAAGCAGGTGAAAATTAAATGGAGTTTCTAGAGTAGCTTCTCTTGCTTCCCTTAAGTATTGAAATTCTTCTCTGCTACTTCTCTGTTACTTTCCTTCTATTACGTTTGGATTTCATGTTGCATATTGGATTAGAGTGTAAATTTTGTTTTTTTAAACATTAATATTTTTAAGTGAGGAACTCAACCATGAATCAGCAGTAAAGCCAAGCATTTAACTTCTATAAACTTGGCTGCATTGATATCAGATAGTGCAGTTTCCATGGATAATTCCTCATACTTTCTAATTTCTAATACTAATTGTACATCAGGTTGCTACACCATCTGTGACCTGACCTTGATAATGGATGATCTTACTAAAACAGGGTGATCCTCAAAATTTAATGATATATAACACTTTCTATCTCAATAATATTTCTTTTTATCTGTGGATTGTGACAATGCACTCAATACCAAGGTGTCGATGTCTTAAGGTGATCATGTTTGTGACATAAATAAGATAAAACTAGGAGATAAATTTTCGTTTCTTTTTTATGTTTTGAACTTGCCTACAGCTTTTATAGACCTTTGTGAAGGTTCTTATGACTCATGATTTTGAAAGACGTTCTCTAGAACTGTTGATGTAATCTGGAATATTTGTTATGCACACTACAACTAAAGAAAAAAAAACTGGCATTTTCTTCACTAATTTGTTATCAATATGCCTTCCTGCCTTCTATTGGTACTTTTGAAATGGAAAAGTTGTTTATAGTGCCTTTTTTCCCTTGTTTCTTGAAATCCGAACGCCTATATCATAAGGTAGCTTATGGCTGAAAGAATATCAAATTTTGTTTGTTTTTTCCATTTTTTGGCTGTAATTGAAACTTCCCACATTGTCAAAGCATCAGACTACATTCCTTGAATTTTCTTTTGATTGATTTAGTTGTTCTGCATCAAGCTCTCATGGGCTCATAGCACATTCTAGTTGGGAACAAGTTGGTGCGACCAATTAAAGAAGAAGGAAGGACTTTATAACAAGAAAGATCTTAAGATAAGAAAGGATGGGATCAGGGGTAATAAGAAGATTCAATCCATGCTCCTCTACCTGAAAAACTTCAGTAAAGGAACTGCCTGAACCTGAAAGTAGAGGTGCTTGAACCTATTTGATTGCTTGCTGGAAAGTCTTTTTTCATTGAGATTAGGAAGGTGTTCTTTCTAGGTTTTCCAGTTTTGCAGTGGTGCCATTTGATTAAGGAGGATGTGTGAGTTCCTAAATCGCGATGTGGGTTGGTGAGAGAATGGATTTTACTGCATACTATAGTCTGATCTAGAATGTAACAAGCTTCAGTTCCTTTGAGATAATTTGGGTGATAGAAATGTATATGCATCAGAAAAAAACTACTTGATGCATTCATAATCTCTTTTCACCTAGGTGATCCTGTATATTAATCTCTTGATAATGCTGTGCATGAACTGGACATGTTTGAAGCGGTTATTGCTCACAACTAACTTATTCGGAAGCTAGGCATCTTAACATTTAGTACAGGATTCTTATGCTTTGGTCAGGTTGTACATTTATGCAGCTATATGATAATTGAGATATGATTTGTTCACTGCTGAATCCCTGGTACTTTCCTGGATTGAATAGGCTGTAGTTATACTAATTCATGGCTGTTCAATTTTGTGTCTTACCAAGATAATGCATTGAAGAACATTGTACTGAGTTTGAGTTAATACTTTCAGGTAGCCAGATCCAGTTCTATGCCTGCAAATACAAGGGATGCATTATATCAAAGCTTGCCTCCTAATATAAAATTAGCTCTGCGTTCCAAATTACCGTCATTTCATATTGCAGAAGAGGTATGACTACCTGCGGATACTTTCTATTCTAAAAAATCACAGAAAATTTACTGGAAAGTCTGATAGAGATAGAAAACTTTAGGTTGAAGCACACTTTGCCTCTATCCCACAATTGACGAGGGAAGAATATACCTATTATATAGTTGCTAATCAATCACTCCTCAATCAACCTCCTCGTTGACATCAATTAGTCACTTGTTGTGATGAATCTTCATTTAATGCCCTTGATTTTATTAACCAATGCGTCCTTTACACTTTCCTGGCGTGTTAACCCGCTGCAAACATCTTAAATAATTAGAATGCTAAAGAAAATGCTTAACAACTTCTGCAGAATAATTTTTCTTCTGCTTTCAGCTTTCAACTTTCAACCAAAGATGAAAATTTTTAATTTTTTTCATTGCTTTTTGGCCCTTTCCTCATGGTTGCTGTCTGACTTCTACAGCTAACTGTAGCAGATATCAAAGATGAGATGGAGAAAACATTACATTGGTTGGTTCCAATGGCCACTAACACATCCAAGTAAGATGTCTGGCTTTTCGTCAAGTAGCTCCTTCTGACCTATGTGAAAATCTTTCTTTAATCTTCACTTTATTTACATTAAGTCTAATCCTTTTTGGCCCTTTCTTTTGGTTGTTTTAAATTTGGTTCAGAGCACATCATGGATTTGGTTGGGTAGGGGAGTGGGCAAACACAGGGTAAGCAAGTCTCTTTTAAGTTTTTATGTTTTTCCTTTCTATATTTTGTGTTGCTTTTGATCCTTTCCGATTTTAAATATTGCTTGGTTCTTGAAGCTCTGAGTTAAACAGGAAGACCTTGCAGACTGGTGTAATACGGATCGAGACATTCTACCATGCAAATAAGGACAAAGTAGAATATTATATTCTTGAACTTCTTTTATGGCTTCATCGCTTGGCCATCAGAAATAAGGCTGGCAGTGATGGCAAAGTGAGGCCTGCCATCAAGTCCCCTGCTGGTGCTGCCTTGCAAAAGACAGATAAGCACTCTGCAAATGCACTTTTACCATTGTTAACAATCGATGAGCAAAAGATGTTGCAGGATGTAAATAGGAAATTACCAATTAGACGGATCAGTAAAAGCTTGGACTTGGACAGTATGAAGATTGGATTCAGGGAGAACTGCAGACTGACCAAGAGTAGCAGTCATTCGTCAAGTAAAAGCAAGGAAATATCTTTTAATAGAATTTTATCTAAGCTTCCTGTGATTGATTTTGATATTGACAAAGAAAGAGCATTGAACGTGATCGACAGACTGGATGTGGTCAGATAATTTGCAAGTTTGCCTGATTTGCCTTGGAAATGAATGGAAAGTAATATCTACACACGCGGACATGTACCTCACTCTTTCTGCAAGTGTTGAATGCCATATTTTCGCGGCACCTTTGTTACCCTGGGATTCAAGTGGTTTCAATGGGGTGCCTTGTTTCGGTGAAGCCCCACAAGAGAATGTAGATATCATCTTTATATGGCACAAGGTAGATAGTTGTTGAGACGATAGGCATTCATGCTTCTATGTGACTGCGAAGTCCACTTAGTATAGGAGCGGGGTGGACCCTGGTTCATTCTTGAGAGTGTATATACTTGAGGTGATGTGGATATAGTGCCCATCGTTTTGCAAAGCTTTGATTTTTGTGGGTTTTGTTACATGCCCACTAGCCAATCTAGAAACCTTTTTCGGGAATATAGTTCCTTTTGTGATAGATTTTAGACTACATCAATGATAACACGAGGGCTTGTTTAGTGACGATAAGGATGGATAGAACAAGAGGATACGATAAATAAAAAATGAAGAGTATAGTAGTGGGAATTATATTCAAATAATAAAACTACAAAGAGGGGATAGCAGTGTTAATGAGTAGTTAAAAACTTTATCAATTGATTACTGTAATATAGAGAATAGAATTCTTATAATATTTAATGAGTTAATTAATTATTAGGTTAATTTAACTTGACAATATTATATTTATTTATTGTTATTTCTTAATAAAAATTGTAATTGTTTTAAGCGTGGAGCTAATATTTTAGAGGGTATTACATGACATGGTTTGACAAAAATTACCTTTTTTTATATAGATAATATATTATATATAATGAATTTATCATTGGAAATCTGAATTTTTTTTGCAAAAACTGAGTTACATGGGGATTGATTACCATAAAAAATGAATTAATTCATAAAAACTTAGTAATCTAATTACCCTAATATATAGACTAAAATTTATATTTCTTTAATTCTATAAAGTATTTTAAAATTTAAAATATTTAAGTGAGAAATTCAATATCACAAAAAGTGTGTCATGACATTACTTTAGACACAAAATCTTACTTTTAATATATAATAAATAAATAAATAATTATAGTGTCTCATGATATTACTTTAGACACAAAATCTTACTTTTTATATATAATAAATAAATAAATAAATAAATAATTATAGATAATAAGTTTTTCCATTAAAATAAAATGTAAACTACTTAAATCAACAGGATAAATTTATTATATTCTATTGTCTCACTAAATAATAGATTAAAATAAGTTTTGATTAGTTATTTTATCTTCTTTATCTTGACCAAAACAAGTCAAAAAATATTTAAACTTAAGTGTTGATAAATATTCTTTCTATATAATAATTTAAACTTTAAGTTGGTAGAAATAGATCTTTGAAGGATAGAAGGTATATAGAATAAAAGTATGCCTAATATCTTTTAGATATGGATATTCATTTTTTTTTTAGAATTAATTTGTCCCTGTGAATAACTTAGATGCAAAATAAGTTTGATGATGAATTTTTGTCATGATCTAATGAAGAATCTTTAATATATTTCACATTTTTACAACTCAAGTTGTAACATCAATGACTCATATAGATTAATATTTTTTTTTTTTAATTTTGTGCACCAAAGTTAAAGCAAATGAATTTGTGAATACTATAAGAGTACGGAGAAAAAAAAAAAATTAAGTCTTGACCAAGTGTCACATGTGCTTGGAGAATGCTCCAACAAGTGTCATATTTTCATTAGGTATGTTATATAAGGGGTCAACTTCATTTAATTTATTCTCAGACATATTATTTCAATTATATTTATTTATATACAAATAGACACATCTTTTCACTGGATGCTTATTCATGTAGAGACGTATATTTTAAACTACATATTTACATGAATCATTATTTAGATTGAAGTAACAACTTTTCATTTCGAATTAAATAAGACAACTCTTCAAAATGAAATAATACAACTTTCATGAATGAAATAATATAATTTTTTAATATAAAATAAGACAACTTTTCATATAAATGAAGAAATACAAATCTACATATTTTAAAAATTTCACACTTACACTTTTTATGAATCTAATGAAATAGGATGGAAAGTTAGTAGAAATAAAGAAAAAATTCTATAGGTCCAAAAAAAATTAAAATCATTCCTCTCATGCCATGAAAATGGAATAATAGGAGGAGGTAACTTTCGTGTTTTAATGTTTTTTTATTTTAAATAATAGTTTATCATATAAAAAAAGTATTAAAAATGTCAAGAAAATTTATTGTAATAGTCTAAATATTTATGATTATTATAAATAACTTTTTCATACAAAATATTTATCTTTTTTCACTCTTTTCTACTCATTTAAATAAGTGAAGATTTTTTTTTTCATTTTTTCTCTCTTTCATCTCATCATCCAAACAAAACCTTAATGTAATGCATGTACTTTTTAAGCGAATTATCTCAAAATTGAGTTTGTAAAATTATTGATTTGAAGTTTTTTATTTTAAAAAAGTATTTAAAATTAAAATATACAATAAAAGATACTTACAAAAGACTTACATTTATCCCACTCTAAAAAGATAAGTGGGGTTTCAAAATTGCAACCTGTCAAATGCAAAACTAACCTTATCTTGCTTCACTAACCATTCATATATAATTATGTAATCTAAATTTGTTGTTTTTATAACTTCAAATTGAACATTATTCTCATTAGAAAATATACTCTCTTTTTATACCCTAAGGGTAATTATTAACTAAAAAGTAATTAGTAAATTAATTGTTATTTTTTAGTGATTATATTTATGCTTTATTTTTTCCTTCAACGTCATATATCAAAGATTAATTAATGATATATTTAAATGACAAAATCTGTATATAAAAACTTAATTACGAAAGATTCTAATATATATCATCCCATCAAATATTCTAAATGTATTGTTTAGTGTGCTATTTGTGTTAAGCATTGATGATATATAACAATTTAGGGTTAAGTTAAATTATTAATAATAATAATAAGAATTATAAGATTGATAACTTTAAAAAATTGATTGAGAAATAATTATATTATTATATGATTTGAGACCTTAATTTTTGTGGTATACCCACATGATCTATATAAAGGTTTTTTAAATTTTTGTAGTTTAAAGAAAAAAATTTAAATTTTTTTCATAATTTTAACTTAAGTGAAATTTTTTGACTTAAGCTAAAATTGTAAAAGATTACAAAATTTGATAAAAATTACTTTTTCATTGAATTCGCTTATGAGAGTTAGACTTGTTTGTGGCGCTTTAGGCATAGATGGTCGTGTTTGTGGTTGTGTTAGTTGTGATGCAGGTGGTATAGATGAAGACAGTTGAGAAGAATCTCCTACCGGTTGTTCCATTGGATTGGTGCGATAAATTTTTATGAACTGGTAATTAATTGTTTTCTTTAAGCTGATTGTTTGATTGAAGGTATCTAGAATTATAACACCTTGGGAAGCACACAGAGCAGTGATTAGTGATGGAAATCCCAAAAGTTTTGTTGTTGATGCAGTACTGGAGGTATTGGACATTACAAATTGGTGCAACTCATCTAAAATTATAGTTTCTATGTCAACAAACATCTCTTCTATGATGTTGTATATCAGATATGCTTGGGGCATCTAGACATCTGAGGTGTGTGTGGTTGGGGCTATGTTGGCAAAGAGAAAGGATGCCCATATTTGGGCCAAAGTAGTCAAAGACTGCCTTTTGAAGCGCATTGGCTTCTTTGCTGCATTTGTTTCGTAGGATTTTCTAGGGATACATAAGGTGTTAGCTACTGTGTCATCTAAAAAGAGCTTCGATGTTGTTGGTATTGGCATAACTCTCCTTCCCCTAAGGTCAGAGGGTTGCCTAACAGGGCTGAAATTGCATCTCTGTCATAAGCAACAGTGTGTCTTCGAACCCAAGACTTCTGATCTGACTTGTGTGTAGGGATGGCAATGGGTAGGGTATGGGTAGGGTACTACACTACCCATCCCCATACCCGCGTTTTAAAAAAATACCCGTACCCAGCCCCATACCCGCGTGGGTATGAACATTAATCCCCATACCCGTACCCTCTGGGTACCCGCATACCCGTCTTGTACCCATTACCTGCGTTTGTTTGAGAAAAAAATATTTATAAAAAAAAATATGTTTATATAATTTCACATAAGTAGCATAATAATACAAAAATTCAATATGTAGTTGTCGAACAAGGTACAAATATAGATAAAAAAACAAATATTCAAATATCATAAATGTTAAATGTATCTTAATATAATAATTTTCTAAATTAAAATTCTTAGAAATAATAAGCAAAACTAAACACACAAGTTATTTGTCAGTGATAATCCTATCTTGTGTGAGATTTGATTGCTTAGTAATGTCAGAACGATAACAAAATAGATCTGTACAATGGTTGTCCTTCGTGTGGGATCGCTTAGTAACCTCTTGTGACGGCATTAACAACTAACTCTAATGAATAACATTTCATAGTTATTAAGTTTTAGTGAGACAGACATTGAGAATGAGAATAAAGTTAGAGTAGAGAAGTTCAATACTAACAATAAAAAGTTGATACATAAAATATTTTTTTTAACTTTTGAATTTTAAATTGTAAGAAAAATAATAGATTTAATTAAAATAATATAATATAATTAATATATATATATATATTAATACTAGTATTTTTTAACTCATATACTATACGAAAGTATTTTATCAAAAATATAAATTTTTGAAAAATTATTTTAGTGAATTAAATATTTCTAATGTATATAAATTTTAAAAAAAAGAATTTGAATAAAAGATAAATAGTTACAATAAAATTTTATAATAAAGAAATATACGTGTATATTAAAAAAATTATACTTTTTTATCTTAAAAAAATTAACAAATAAAAATTAACAATAATTTTTTATATTTATATCTTTTCAAAAACTTCTTTGAATGTGAATAAATAGTAAGAATAATATTATTTAGATTCAATAAATTATAGTTGTGCTTGTAATACATATGTTGCATAGAAAAATATTATTTTAAATTAAAATATAAAAATAAAATTTAAATATTATTAATAAATAATAAGTTTACGGTAATAGTAGGTGATTGTAAAATTTATAAAATATTTATAATATATTTATTATTTATCATTCACTTTATGATTAAAACATCAATATAATTTTATTAACAAAAATATTTTATGTGTGTCATATATAAATAATATTTTAAAAAAAGTCAATCTCATATTAACTATGTAATAATTAAATTGTGTTAGCCGAATTAAATGATATAAAATAGTAAATAAATTTTTCTATTAAAAATATAAACCAAAATAAATTTTTTGGTTTACTTTATTATTAAATATATTTTTATATTAATCTTATATAACTTCACATAAGTAATATAATAATACAAAAATTCAATTCATAATTGTAGAATAAAGTTTAAGCATATATATATATATA